GTAACCTAATATACTCTCTAGATATAAATAAATCTAATACTCTCGGTAATATACTATTTTTTAATCCTAAAGAACTTTAAGAGCTTTAGATATTTCTTCTTATATAATTATATAATATAGCTAGAATATTTTTTAAGAAAGTAGTAAATAAGCTTCCCTAGTCTTAATTCTTTAACTATAAGCTTCGTTTTAATAGACTAGACCCTTTAATAAAAACGGCCTATTTCTATAAGATAAACTTTAATAAACTCGAAAAAATAAGAGAATATCTTATTAAGAACCTAAAAAAGAATTTTATTAAGCTATCTGAATTCCTCTTCTTATTATTAGTTTTATTTATTAAAAAGAAAAACAGTAGCCTATAATTTTGTATTAACTATTAATAGCTAAATATTATAATAAAAAAGAACTACTACTTCCTATTACTTATTACCGAGACTCTTAATTAATTAGCTAAATTATTAGTATTTACTAAATTAGATATTTAATATAAAACTAGCTTCTATAATATAAGTAGCTTTTAAAACGAGATATAAATTATTTAAACTAGTAGTTTTACTATTTAGACTCTATAATAGTTTAGTAATTTTCTAGTAATATATTAATACTATTCTAATAGACTATTTAGATAACTTTTATTTGGCCTATATTAATAATATACTAATCTTTTTTAAGAATAAGAAGAAGTATTAATAATATATTAGAATAGTTCTATAAAAGCTTTAGGATACCGGATTATAAGTTAATATCCGTAAATATAAATTTGAAGTTTCTAAGATAATATTCTTAGGATTTATTATCTTAAATTAAGGTATATAGGTAAATTCTACTAAAACCTCTATTATCCGAAACTAGTACTAACTTATAATAAAAAGAGAGATATAATTATTTTTGGGCTTTTATAACTTCTATTATAGGTTTATCTAAGCCTATAAATATATTTCCTATTCCCTAAATCATCTAACTAAAAAGGATACTTTACTAAAATTTATACTTAATAAAACCTAGCTAGATGCCTTTAATTAGCTTAAAGATCTACTTCTCTCTATTTCTATATTTCTCTATTTTAAATATAATAGGGAAACCTGCCTAAAAACTAACTATTTAGATCTAGTTACTATAGATATACTCTCTTAAAAAAGCCTAGAGAACAGATAATAATACCCGGTCTAATTTTATTCTAAAGTTCTTTAAGGAGCCAAAAGCCATTATAAAGTTTATAATAAGGAATTCCTTACTATTATTTAAGGACTCCGGGAATAATAGGTAGAACTAATTAGCTTATCTAATTTTCTAATTATTACTAATTATAAAGCTCTTAAGTATTTTAGTACTAAGAGGCTCTTAAATAAGTAATAAATCTAATAGATAGGTTTCCTATTATAATTCTATTACTAGATTACCTATTAGCTAAGTAAAGATAATATTATTACTAATATCTTATTTTAAAAGAATAAGCTTATACTAATTCAGAAATAAGCCAAGAAAGCTAAGAGAACTAGATAAGTTATTTTATTAGACCTAATTCTTATTTTTACTAAGATAATAAATATGGCTTATACTTTTATTAAAATAGAAGAAATAAATAAGCTATTTATTATAATTAAAGTTTTATAAGCTAATTAGACGAACCTAGCCCTAGAGAATAAATATAGGAAAGCCCGGAAGAATACGGATCTATAAGAAATATTAAATAGCTATATACTTTATAATAAAAGACTTATTATACTAGATAGATATAATAATCTATAAACTAGGCTCCTATAATAAATCCATAATATAATAACTATTATATATCCCGGTTAAAATAAGATAAAAATCCTAGTTTAGAAACTTTACTATTAGCCTACTTTCTTTATAAATATTAACTACTTTATAGTAAACTATTATAAATATTAAAGGTCTTATAAGCCAAGAGATAAAATACTAGGCCTATTATACCTATTACTAATTCCCCTAAAGATATGAAATAATTTGTCTATAGATTTCTATATTCCTGGCTCTATAAATAAGAGATATAATAATATATTTATTATAGTTAATTAATTATCTAAATAATATATAAGCCTACTAATAACTAAGAATACTATAGCTAGAACTATAACTAGCCTATTTTATTACTATATCTAGTAATTCCGAGAATTTCTTTTTACTATTATAAATAACCGAGAACCCTAATTTATTTCAGACTTTATAAATAAATTATTAAGATTAACTAGAACTAAGCTAAAGCTCTCGACTATAGAATATACTCAAACTAATAAATAAATAGAAATTATTAACTAGATTATTAATACCTAACTTTGCTTCTTTATTAATTATTTTTAGGATAATTAGGCAGATTTATTTCCGGTACTTAATATTATAGGTATTGCCTATTTATATAAATTAACTAGCTTATCTCTCTTAATAATTAATTATAGATATGAATTCAGGCTAAATTTTAACTAGATACTACTAATAATAGAATTTAAAATACCGAGAAAGAAACTTAATTAGGAAAAAGTATAATAGTAGGCTAAGAGAATTAATACTATTATTAATTATATCCGAGAATATATAATAATAGCTTAGAAGTATTAAGCTAAGTAAGCTAATAAGAAATAGTAAGAACCGGATTTTAGTCCAGGAAATATAGTCTATATAATTAAAAAGATATAGAAAACGGACTATTTATCTAATAAATTAAACTATTTCCTTATTAGACTATTTAAGATTAATAAAATAGTCGGCTATTTATATTAATTAGACCTTCCTCTATTATATAGGATTTAGTTAATTTTCTATATAAATAAACTTTATAAGAATTCTACTAATTTATTACCTGGCTAGACTAATAAAAAGCCTAGTTCTACTAAAGTTAATAGTAAATTTAAATAAAAAGTTAAAAAGATTCTCTTTTCCAAGGTACTTTATAGTAAGCTTTATTATAAGATTAAATAAAAGAAATAGGATATAGATAATAAATAGTATCTTATATTAAACTTTAAGAACTTAGTATTTAAACTATATAAATTTCACAAGTAAAACCCTAGTAAAATAGGATTTTCTATTTAGCTAAATAAATAGATTTAGTATATTAAAAAGAACAAGTTTAATAAAAACTACCTAGATAATAATAAACCTTAATAATAAGGCCTTTATAACTAGAGAAAAAGAAGAAAAACCTAGATATTTCCTGAGTTTTATCTAAACCCTAATATATTTCCTTTATTTTATTATATTAGTATTTACTTTCTTTTCTAGAAATCTAGATAAAATATTTTTCTTTATTATACTAGATTATATTTTATTATCTAGATAAATTATAAAAAAAGTAAAATTTTAAAGCTAAGCTAAAAGTAAATACTTGCCTATATTAGTTTAAAATATTATTAAAAATTAAGGAAAATCTTTCTAATTACTTTAATTTTTATAATCTTAATTATTTATATTATTACTATTACCTTAATAAAACTATTAATAAAAACAAAACAGATAAGAAATCCCGGTAATATATTATTTATAGCCAGACTAAGTAAGGCTACTTATTAGATCCTAGATAACTTAAATAATAATAGTAATATTTCAAGTTTAGTAGCTATTATTATTATTAATATAACTACTAGCTAAACTACTTTTATAAACAAAAATAGTAATTCCCTTACCTAAAAATAGGTTAATATATAGAATACGGCCTATATTACTCTTAAGAATATACCTGAAATTATTATAAAAAATATCTTAGTAAAATATTCTAAGAATAATAAAATAGAGGTTTTAGTTACTAGTAATAATAAGTCTAATAATTAAATAGGCGGAATAAATAGTACTAATAAGGGCTATCTAATTAATCTTATAAAGTCAAATACTAAGAAGGCAAAAAAGAGTAAGGCTAGCTTATCTAAGAAATATAAGATATTAGATAATAGTAAGAATTCTAATAATAAAAAGACTAAGAACAGAAAAACTTCTAGTAATAAAAGAAACTCTAACTATAATAAAAGTAGCTAAACTAGTATTAAGATATTTATTATAACTAGAAAATATATAATACTAAGTAATAGTTATTATATAAAGTACTAGTCTGAAACTAAGAGCTAGTAAATAATCCTAAAGACCAAATTAAAGAAATAATACCCTATAAATATTAATAAATTAGTAAATAATACTATTTAAGAAGTCGGAAAACTTCTTAGAAGCTCTTATAAAACCAAAATCATATAGTTTAAGGCCCGGGAATTTAATAATAAAATAGCTTAAGTAGCTGCCCTTAATATATAAGTCTCTATTATAGAGAAATAACTTGAAAATATATATATTAAGTTCGAGAAGGCCTAGAAATTAATTAAGTAGCTTAGAAACGGTATAATTAAGCTAAATACTATTATCCTAACTAAAAAGAAAGGTAAGCAAGCTACTATATTAAAGCTTATATTAATAAATAGACTCGATTTATTACCCCTATTTAAAGACTACCCGATAATAATAGTCCTAATATTAGTTATAGCCTATATAATACTTCCAGATCATATTATTAATATAAGTATAGGTATAATATAAGTAATAAATACTAAGAACTAGCCGGAATATACTAGAAACTGGGTTATTCTAATAGAGTTAAGACTATACTTTAATTATAAGTAAGCTATAGGAATTAGACAGAATAGGATTAATAGCCATTATTTCCTCTTTTTTCTTTTCTATACTACGGCTAAATAATCCCCTAAATAAGAGTATTTAGACTTCTCTTTAGGGGGGGGGTAATATAACGGCTAGTATAAGGGTATAATCTGCTAAGGACAGGATATCGGAAACAGGTACAAAACGAAGCTAAGCCAGAATTGCTTGGACGGAATAATACTAAAGGTCGAGGCATCCTCCCTACTTTGTTCCATAGCTTAGTATTTTCCAATATATGAGATTCTTTGAACTTTGAGCCTTCGACCATTGCATTGATCCCGCCGTCACAAATAGTATTAAAAACAAGCTTTCTTTTTAAAAATAAAATTTGCTCTAAGGGCATTTCTTTCTAAAACTTGTTAAAGTAACCCGCTTCTAGGGATCCTAGAGGAATAGCTTTATTTCACTGCTACGAAAGTCAAGTAATCGTCTGTCTTAGTGGATCTCAATCTCTTCTAAAGACACTAACCCCTTCTCTAAATTATCCATTACCTCTCCATCCATAACTCCAAGCACAAAACATTCACCTTGATGCGTGTAATAGCCATCTGTTTTACGCAGGATTACAGGTACGCTGAGTCCAGGGAACACGCAAACAACATCACCCACCTCTACACGTGGAGAACCAAGTCCCATATATCCACGACTGGTTATAAAGAACTTGCGATCCTTTGTCTTGTGATGCAGCGTGGAGACGAAAGACTGCATCTTTAGGTCCTTGCACGCTTCAGTAACCGAACTGACTGCAACACTAGGCGACCAAGTTAATGATCCTTCGGAGCCGGGATCTCCAAGGAAGAGGTCAAATTTCAAGGGTTCTTCGGAATGCCACAGCGTATATCTTTTCCATCCGGCTATTTCTGAGCAAGGAGGGTACCAGGGGCCGAACACGACGCCTAACAAAAACGCCTTTGCAAATTCGAAGAAGCGATCTTCTGATGTGGAGAGTCGAGCGTTTGTTATAAAATCCTGGTCTAAGAGAATTGTCCGGAAGTAGGCTTGTAATTGTGGTATCCCTGTAGGATAGGATTTACTTCTGCCTTCGTAGATCAATCTTGCCCAGCTAGGGGTGTCTGCATTTCATGTGTTAGTAAAGTACGTCTCAAACCAGACCAAGAATTGTTACAAAGACGTGCCTTCAACCCAAGTGTCCTTGCACTTTTCTTGCGCAATTCCAGATTTAAGTTCCTCTGTATCACTGTTGTATACTTTATTGTCGGTAATATGACGTTTGATCAGCATATGATCATGTCCACCACACCATATCCCATCTTCTACACAACCGGGGCAGAGGTCAAAATCTCCATTCCCGCAAATGTTGCAATGGTAATGTTGGTTGAGTACAGGACCACAGCAATTGTCGCAACAGATGACTTTTGGCTTCTGAGATGGACTACAATTAGAAATAGCAGTCACTTTAAGGTATTCGTTGATGAGTTCTGTTCTCCTTTTGGCAGCGGCAAGTCCAAGAGCATTTCTTCCACTGGAAAGGAAGTGGGATGTTGGGAACGAGTCGATTTCAGTTACAGTATCCCAGACAACTCCTTGCGCATATAAAGCCAGTGATGGCAACAGGGAGCAATGTGCCAACCCTTTTCTTCCCAAATCTGCGCTATACAGTTCGGTATCTAGAGGGCGTGGGTATCCCACCTGGCCCCAGTCAGGTACCCATGACGGAAGTACCATTCCATCAGGCGTGGTCGAGGAGCGTGGAGGACTATTATGCAAAATTTCTAGGTTCTGGTGCGTGTGAACCATAATACTTGCGACCTTGATATATAATTCAGAAATCGAAATTGTATAGTCAGGTAGGCCGAAGCAGTCCCCGTCACTCGCGAGTCCCTGCATGCCGTAGATGCGATCCCTGGGATCAGTACACATCATACAGTCGACTAGCCCACCCAGGATAGAAGATAGTTTGCTATCTATCTTTTTTTGCGCCAGGTACTCTTGTCGGAGAAAGGACTTTGCGAAGTGTCCTGCGCAGCCTCGACCCCAAATTAGGCCCAGGAAGTCGAACTTTTGAAACTTCCATGCTCCTGGATCTGTCTTCGTGGATATGATCAGACTCCACCAGTGCAACAGGCGCCATGAAAAACTGATGTCTCCACATGTGAACAAGACCTCCTTGCCAAACACATATTCTTGAACTGTCCACAACCTCAACCACCAGGGTCGTTCAAAGAAGGACAGAATTGCGTCGCATGCGCTTCCATCCAGTTCATTCAGTGCCTCTATTGTCTCTTCTCGACTGGTTTTTTTCCCCTTATTCCCAAATTCCTTGAATAGTCCTTGTATCGTTTGTAACGCAAGCCTTCCATCTTTGCCTTCCTCTCCAAGCCACACAACTACACATGACGCTCCGGAGTAGATATCTCCCATAAGTTGGACTTGTTGGCTGCGTTCATCTAGGTCCGATTGATTGATGCAAATAGCATCAATCCACCAGCGCATCTGCGGACGCTTATCTCGTAGCTCTCCCTCAGCCCCTCGAAAATGGCGTAGCGCTACATCCAGGTTCGCCGTTACCTGGACTTCTACACCGTTGATATGCATTGGAACGGTGATGTTGGGATCCCCCCAGCAATAAGACAGTGCATAATAGCCTGGAATCTTGTCGAGAGATATTTCCCTGGTCGTGCATTCTATAGGTGCCGATTTCTCTACCGAAGGGTGAATAGTAACTATTCGTATTTCGCGATTGCTGTATATTAAGGGAGAATATATTGACCGTTCCATACTCTCTGCTCAGCAAAGGCACGGACTGAAGTGGAAACTCTTGAATCGATTGACTTATTCGACAGTTCTAAGTAGCTCTTTATAGCCGTAGCTACGTCGTAGGATCGAATCCAAAATCCTGTCTGCCCCTGGCAATGCTCGTCCCCGAGGAACTCTGCGATGGCACCTATGTTCTACAATCCGGGAAGTTCATCCGCGAGGTGGATCGTCCTGCAACTGCTCGGGTTGTGCTTTCTGGAGTTTCGCATGTGCTTTCTCCGGTTTTGGGTCGCAAGGATCCTGCGGATTACCGTGAACCCGTGAGATGGCACTTGTGGTGAATAAGGGTTGTTGAATGATTGTAGGCGCTGGAGCTGTTGCAGGATGAGCGTCGTAGTTTGATGTTGATGTTGATTGCCAAGCTCTGAAAGAGTGGTGGACGGCGGTTATTTGCTTAATAATTCTATTGTGCGTAGTACCTTGGAGCCTGAGGTTATAAATTACTACTTTTGGCTTAACTTAAGAGATACCATTTTCGGCAACGCTAGGTAAAATGCAGATGATCGCCGGTACAGGCGAAGTACTAGGATACGAATATCGATGTTGAAAACTGAACCAGGACGATAAGGCTCGGCATACACATATATCAGGCACGGCTCGGCACGAATTCTCGCCCCGTTCCGCGACAATACTTGTAATGCAAACCAACATGATTAGTCGGTTAAACAACGTAGGAAGGGAGGAAGTTGTCGCCCGCCACTTTACAAAGCCATTTAGCGTACCCGCCACGGCATCGATCAGATGTGCAACAAATAATTCTGCTATCCTTCGGCTTGCACATGACACGTGGTATACATCACTTTCCCGATATATGACTAGCACATTAGGCAAGGAACCCGGACTTGACTCTCTCGGCCTCCAAAGTCGCCAAAAATGATCGGGGAGCCGAAGGTGGACCCCCACGAAATATCGAAATGATCATTATCGACTCGGTCACGAATGTGATCTTGGGCTTCGTTCGTGGTACGAGAGTACACATATGAAATCTTGTGATTCTTATCATCAAATAGACGTGAATCGACTTTGAGTTTGGTTTCAATGTTCGACTTCCAAGTCTCGAACTCAGGCTGGTGACCCTTCTTCCTTGAGAACTTATCAGGATCCTCTAGCCTAGCACGGCCTTTGGTGTTATGTGTTGTGCTCTCTGTAGATGGTGTAACAGAGGGCTATCGTCGTTGTTGTTCAAGGTATTCGATGGTGCCTTGTTTTTTGGTGAGCTCACGCTCGAGGTCGTCGTTGTCTCCTCGCGGGTTATGGATATCCTGATCGAGAGTTTCAATTCTGGCTTGTTGGCTTTGAATCATGGTGAGAATCGTAGTGTGCTCATTGTGAATTTTGATGTAATGGGTAGCAAGTTGTTGGGCCTGTTGGATGGCATATGCTTGTTGGGAGCCTGTCCAGGTGGCAGTGTCATCGAAAGAGTCAATGCTCCAGAAGGTTGGTTGTTTGTCATTCTCGTTGTCGAGTACTGACCTTCGTGATTTGAAGGTGTTCTTGCGAGAAGTAAGTTCTACTTCACGGGAGTTAGATGTGATGTCGTCAGTTTCTTGAGGAGACTGATCAAGTTGGCCTATATCGTCGTCGGATACAGAGGTTTGTTGTGCTGGTCGAGCCATTGTAATAGAATGAACGACTCCGTTATTGTTTGTTGTTTGTTAATGACGGTCCAAGAAACGCGTCGAATGCACTTTGGGAAAATGCTACAGTTTAACTCAGTAGCTTGAGTGCAAAGGGGAGCTTGATATTGTGTCACGAAGACGAATCAGGTGCAGTGATACAAAAGCAAGAGACTCGTATCAACGAAGATATCAAGCTACAAAAGAAAGAGAAAGAGAAAGAGTCTCTAACTCTGCTATAAATACAATGTGAGGCACTTGATTCCTCCCAAGTGAATGCCAAACGAGTGAATTGGAATCTCTGCCTGGCGAATGAGGCTATCCCCGAAATCACTAACCGAGCACCTTACATTCATGACAAGTTAGAGTCCGTAAATGAGTATAAGCCTCGAGAGTACCCGCTCAGGGTCAAATAGTACTAGACCAGTAGCTGCGAACCCACTATAGATCATATCTGAAGTCATAGACTGGCTACAGGCAGAAACGTAAGCCGTAAGAAAGTCTGGCTTATTAATATAATCGGGGCCTGTTTGTATGGACCCTTCAATTTATTGCCTGTAAGAGCGCTTTAAAACCGCGAAACAGCTAATATCTAACGGCTGTAATAAATATAACAAGTGTAGTAGCATACAAAGAGTAATAATATAGTGCTTCGCGCAGAACAAGTCAAACTCTGGTATAGCGTAACTCCCGTGGCTACTATATTAAGAATTAAAAGCCAATATACCCCTTTTATATAATCTCTTATATGTTTTTTTAAAAGATATCTATAAGCTAAGTAAGGCCTAGAGAGTCGTCTGTTTATCCTTTATTACTTAATGCAATTATCTAATCTAGTAAAAGTATATCTATATATTAAATCGAGATATAAATCTTTCTTTTAAAAATAATTATAAGTAATAAGCTCTAGCTACTTAATAAAATTAATTTAATAGTAGTAACTTATTTATAGTTCCTTAATTAAATAAAGACTAGCCTACTAGTTCTTTTAGAGCTTATAATAACCTTTGTAATTAAAATAACTTCTATTTAAAAGCCTATTATATTAAAATTATATATATTCTCTTTTATAATCTTATATTTAGTAATTATGTTTTATATAAGCCGAAACTGGTCTCGAATAACTTATAGATCCTTGTATTTAGTACGCTAGTAATTATACTTATAGTTATATTGCGAGAGAAGGAAGTTATACTATTATATAAATTATAAGACTATTTTTAGTTAATTATATAAGAATTATTATAGTTCGTACTCAATAGTTTTTAAAGAAGTAAATTCGCTATCTACTAAATAAAACTATATATAACTAGAAAGCCTCGTTCGTTTATTAATAGTATCTACTTAATAAGAGCTGTCTCCTCTATAATCGAAAGTTTAGTGTTTATAGCTCGTAAACTTCTTCGCGCGCGTCCTCCCTTGACGTGATATCGAAATATTAATTCTGTGATATCGTACGCGTCCGCCGCGGCCCGTTGGCTTGTGAAATAGCTATCTTCGTAGGCCTAGAGCGCTAGAGCAATTCGCCTCTCTATGTGAGTGATTTGAGGGTTCATTGGTTAAGATATATAGAGTTGAAGGAATGTAAAAATGGAAGAATTAGTATAGTAGGGCGTGCGCAAGTTGCTTACCGAGTACGTTAGCTGTCGGAATAGGCTATTCCGAATAGCCGATTGAACTTAGGTAAAGGCACGCCGGCTTACATTGAGGTATCATCTCAGCCTCATAGAGGGGCTGAAAACATTTACCGCTGCTCTGTAGGGTAGCATAGGGGCTTACAGAGTAGGGGTGCCTAGGATTCGATGGAGTAGCGTGTGACGGCAGGGGTGTTTGATGATTTGGTGAGATGTGCTGTAAACGCTAGAGAGCGGTGGTGGCGCCGAAGATTACAAATGTATCAGTTGTATCCCTTCGTCCGCTGAGACATTGCCACATTAGCGGCCGCACATGAATATCCCTAATTCGGCCAAAACATAATCCAAATTAGGGATATTCATGTGCGGCCGCTAATGTGGCAATGTCTCAGCGGACGAAGGGATAGCCGTCGGAATACGGAGGTCGCGGCCATAAGTCTTGCAACTACCAGGGTCGGCGCCACTTCTCGCTTAAGTGGCAGGGCCGTTGCACGGCAACCAAGAAGCGCTGTAAATACAGGGCCTTGCAGGCGTTCCGTGGCCAAAATATAGCGCACAGGCCCTATAAGCATCGCTAAACCTACTATTCCTACAGGCTATCGAGCCTAATCTTCGTTGCTAGGCCAGCTGCAAGTGGCGTCCTGAGGCTTGGCACTCATCCCTGCTGGTTGCAAGACTTATGGCCGCGACCTCCGTAGCCGATTGGACTTCGGTAAAGGCACGCGGCTTACATTAAGGTATCGTCTCGGCCTCATCAAGGTGCTGAAAACATTTGCCGCTGCTCTGGATTGACACACTTGTCTAAGGCATATGGTCCATAACGATGGCGATATTTCTCGAGCTTCTGCTTTAGCTTCTGTCAATGACTAAGGAAGGGTCTCCGAATAATTCGTAAGCTGACCATTCAGTTTTTGACGAGCTGAGAAGTATAGTAGTACAAGCCCTGAGTAAGGTAGAATACCTGCTATATAAGTCTCCTGCATCCTCTATCAGTCCATGTTCCGGATCTAGCTCTATTTTACACTCTGCAAAGTCTTTCCTACGTTCAATCCTCTTCTCGCTGTGTGTATTCTTCACACCAACCTCAACCACAATCATGCTTTTCATCGACCTTCTATTTGTTCTCGCAGCCACGAGCTTCATACCCCACGCGCTCGCTGACTTCCACATCGCCACGACCGAGACCTTTGACAACAGTGGTCTGATCGCCACCTACCGTATGCAAGCGTGTCCCTCAAACTACTACAACTGCGAGTGCTTCGGCAACGGCGACCGCGAGGGCTCATTTGGCGACGTCAACTATTGGGGCGACTTCACCATGGATGCAGGGTTCTGTGGTATGGGAAAGATGGATTTTTACCCGGATGGAGACGCGTTGATCAACTTCTATATCTCGGGTGGAGATGGGACGGCGATTGGGTATTGCACTCCGAATACGGGAGATTCACTCAATTGTTGGACAGGGCCAGCAGATGGGACGGTGACGGTATTTGATGAGTGGTATTGTCATTCATACGTCTGTAATTGAGTCGATATATGTACGGCGGAGGCTCTGGAAGCATTTGAACGCTTTGATAATCACAGCGGGGGTGAGTAAGGGACTGAGCAGGTCTAGCACGGTCAAATTAGATTGCTTATATTATACGGAGGTGCCTTTTAAAAGTCTGTTCCCGTGCTAAAAGCGCTATAACTCTTAGCATGCCTATACAAATCGTTTTTAGAGAATATACTTAATTTTATACCTATTACTCTACTGTTTACAGGGTTAATATGGTATAACCAATAAATTCGTACATACGTGCGATTATTGTTTACCTTAAATTACTATATAGAGGCAAAACAACACCTGAAATCGCTGGCCAATTAAAGATCCAGTACAATTAATAGGATTTACACCAGGGCAATTAAACGTGGACTCCTCAGAGAGGATGATACCTGAGGTAAAACAAAGTCGCCAGCTGGAGCTGATAAAGGTTGCTGTCGATATCTCGCTGCGCGCGGGGTGGCTGACGTGGCCTTTTCAGAACAGAGGATTCTGCCAGCGAAACGGGTACGAAAACCATCCGACTGTCTGGTCCCTTGCCTTGCAAGCAAGCTCGTCATCAATTCTGCGCTGTTGATGGCCCGAGAAGCAATGACTGTACCAGCAGACAGGACACCTCTGCTGCGTGAGCAGAGTTTTCACCTCTCATTAGAGCTGCGCATGCGGCAGACGCTCTAAGAGGACTTAACGTGTGGGAAAGGCTAAAGTATTTGATAAAGAAGGGGAATCTAAGGCTGTGTACGCGCTGCGCGGGTAGGAGAGACCGGGCGAAGGTTGGGGATCTTGTTAGAGGGTGCTGCGTACTCAGAGGGTAACGGTTGGACGCGATTTCGATCACGAGAGAAGACCGCTATAGCGACAGGCTTGAGGACGAATCCGCGGGATCACGCGAAGACAATACTAGCCCCTCCTTCGACCGCACGATTCTACAACAGACAAGGCAGAAGGGCCGGCAGCTGAGGAGGAACTGAGGCATGACGAGCCATCGGAGATACTGGGTTTGGAACACACAGAGGAAGATAATGCCAGCTTTTTGGTTAGTATGCGCATTTCTTTGTTAGCACTTTAGTTTGCTTTATTTTTAGGTTCATTTTCAGAGTCATCTTTAAAGGCTAGTACATCCAAGCTAAATGAAGAGATTTACTATTAATTTTCTCACTCTCGCCTTCTTCCCTTACATTAGTTCTACTGCTCCATCTGCTTCTTTCGACCCGCTCTGTAACCCAGGGTTTCCAATTACTACTGGAATTACTGCGTATGGAGCTGCCGGCACTAACAATAATTTTACTATTCCGTGTGATAACCAGTTTCACGACATCACTAATTGTAAGTTGCCCTCTTTAAAGGCCATAAGTCAATGCTAATCTTTAAAGCTGGTCCTAATCCGGAGCTAAGCATCTCCTCTATCTCTGGAATGGCTTTCCCAATATAAATTGCCAGTTTTCAGGCCATCAGAGAAACCCGGTGTCTGTGGAGTGGAAGGAATAATGACTCCTGGATCCTGGATCTAAGTGTTCCATGCAGCTCAGCAGAATATCCTTTATACGTCATCAATGCCACTTCCGCCGAGCATGTGAAGGCGGGAATTAGTTTTGGTAAGCTCCATTCCTTGGTTCCTGACTTGCAACTGAGTAGCTCACGGATTCAATTAGCAAAGGCGCATAACATCAGACTGATAGTTAAGAACAGCCGGCATGACTACGTCGGACGCACGAGTGGTTCTAACGCTCTTCGAATATGGGTTCGCCACATGGAAAAGAATCCAGCTCCATAAAAGTACTTCGTCCCCAGCCACTGCAATGTTGCGATTGATGGGGCGGCCGTCACAGCTGGATGAGGAACCCAAATGATGGAAGCATATCCTACGACTGCCGCGATAAATCATACTGTGGTTGGAGGGGGCCGGAGAACTATTGCTCTCGGGGGCTTCCTCACTGGCGTTGGGCACAGCATTTTGAGTCCTTATTATAGTCTTGCGACCGACCAAGTGCTGGAAATGGGGTCGCGACGCCCAAGAAGAGCATCTCGCTCTGAATGAATACACGAACACAGATTTGCTCTTGGCAATGAGAGGGGCTCGCACTCATCTTTCCTAATCACAATGTGAATGTTACTAAATATTGGTAGAGGGGAGGTTCAACGTTTGGAATTATGACCTCTGTCACGATGTAAGCATATCCTAGCCCCTCCATCCTAAGCATGAGTTTCGGCATCGAAACCACGGCCGACAACCCCCATATCAATAACACCTGGCCCGGAAGCTTTCAAATTGGTGTTACTTTTACCAGTCATACGAGCTTCTATAAGTGGTATGACGAGAATTATGGTGGGAGTCCGGTGGGGTATGAGAATGTAATGGGCTCGAGGTTGTCGGATGCGGACGCTCTGGCGGCGAATGTCACGGCGACGAAGTTACCGTTTGAGCAGTTTGCTGGTGGGACCTGACGATAGCGTATATTGTGTCTGGGAAGGGGGTGTGGAATGCGCAGCCCAGGGGTGGGAGTAACGCTGTGTTGCTGGCTTGGAGGAAGAGTATTGTGCATGCAAGTAATGGTATATATTTCCTTTCAAAACTCCCCAAAGCTGACCCAGATTTCTTGCAGAAACGACGGTGGCGTTTGCACCTTTGAATTCAACGGCTCGACAAGCAGCGATTGCTGCGACGGAGCTATCTGCTTCTGCACTGCGGCAGTTGAGTCCCAACACGGGGGCTTACATGAATGTAAGGGTCACATCGATCATTGTTGACCCGCCTCGCTAATCAAGAAAAGGGGGCTGGCCGCTTCGAGCCAAACTGGCAGCAGACATTTTGGGGAGAGAACTATCCTCGACTCTTGCAAATCAAGCGCACTGCTGATCCGGATGATGCTCTGAGGTGTAATCCTTGTGTGGGGAATGAAAGGTGGGAGGAAGTAGACAATATGCTGTGTCGTGTCCAGATATTTTCCATAAAAAAGACACTGCCATTACTCCATGGGCTTTCTCCCAATCGTGGACCAGAAAATTTGGTACTTCCCTTCCTCGGCAGCTACACACCTCTTCATTGCATTCTGCATCTCGTTGGCCCTCTCATCTTTGAACCCCAATCCCTTCACCATCCTCGGATTGCATACCAGAAATAACCATCAGGGTCCCAATCACCAACTCTGATACCTCCCTCGTCTCTGGCCTATCTGCATCCCTCCAATAAGGAACCTCGAACTCCTTCGCTCGGCATCCACAAAGCCCGCATCAAGCAGATACTGCATCGTATTCTTCCCACAATCAAGATCCATGCCCTTTGCCTTCGCGCCTCTCCTGAACTCCTTCAACCAACACCACTCATCCTCATCCTCCAGCCTCATTCCACGAAAATAAAACATCTCCTCGAAATCCTGCATCTCGACCCAACCTCCCGACTTCACCATCTTGAACCCATCACGCACATAGCCAGGCCAGTCTGTCATGCCGCATAGCAGGAGACGATTAAACACAAAGTCCGCGGTTCCAAAGGGCAAGCGGGGATCAGTGCCCATGAGTCTGCGGGCATCGCCGCAGATGAAAACATTTGGGAGCGATGCGTCGTTCGACGAGGCGGGGGCGGGAGAGAGATCTATGCAGTAGATAGACTGAGCTGAGGGGTAGAGTGTACCTAGCTCTCGGTCTACTGGCTCTGTTCCGCGGCAGACATCGAGAATGAGGGAGAGGCTCCGAATTTGGGCCGGATGATGCGGTTTCCGAGCAGGGACTTGAGAGCAGAATGTTATTTGTTGAGTCGGGTCTGCTCTTGGTGCTGGAGAGACTTGTCAACTAACGGGAAGGTGAAATGACATACCCTGTGCCCAAGGATGGTGAGAATAAAAGAGAATAGGAGAAAAGTGGGATAGCATACTCATTGGGAAGGAGATAGGAATTGTCTGTGTTATGAAAAGATGGATTGCGACTGTGAATAAAATCCAGATCTTGAATCGAGGATAAAGCCATGCTCATTCCAAATAGTGATAGTAAGTCGTATGCAGTTGTGCGCGGCAAGAGGGGTTCGCTAGTGATGGTTATGAATGCAGCCGTATCCCGGAAGCAATTCAGACAAAAGTGGGGAGGATGGTCTGAGAAAGTGCAATGTATAACTTTCTTTCGGAATCTGAGAGCATCAAATGAGGCGATTCGCCCACTGATATGGCATGTCAGATACCAACTCGGCCTCATGTAGACTAGGTCTGACGAGAGCTCAAGGGCCACATAGCTCCGAATAGAGCATCACTGAAAATTGCCTCCTCATTATTTCTCCCCCGCCTCACATGCGTAATGATTTCCGGGCAACACATTCAACTTCAGTCATTGAGCATCTTGAGGATTCCGGCAACTGGCCACAGTGAACCTCCGAGCTGCCCTGCTGTGTCCAGGCTAGTCGAATCGAAAGAGGAGTGGGTTGATAGTCGGACTTGACGTCGCGCTAAAGGGGCCCTTCCCTTTAGTCGGGGAAAGCGAGTTGTCCCGGGAAAGCGAGATGTCCCGCACCAAATAAAATCCTTAATAACTTGAAACCTTAATCTTTTTAAATAATTCTAAGTAATAGAATTAAAAATATAAACCTTATAAACTAAATACGATTCTCTAAATCTCAAAAAAAGATATGGGTAAAGAGTTATTAAGATTTTAGTAATAAAATCGTAAGGAATACAAAATCCGTAAGAATTATTTGTTCGTAACCATTTCGCGAGTATTAGACTTACGACTTTTGCTTAATTATAATTTTTTATTCTTTTACTTAAAACTTTAGCCCTTAAATATGCGATAGGTAACTACAAGATCGCGAATAAAACGTATTAATTAGATTTTCTATAGCTAGTTCCTAATATTGTTTTTTAGAAGGCAAAAAAGGCCGGTGCGGGACATGTCGCTTTCCCGGGACAACTCGCTTTCCCAGACTAAAGGGAAGGACCCCTTTAGCGCGACGTCAAGTCCGACTATTAAGTGCGGGCATGCATCACAATATAGGCCGACGGTTGAAAAAACCGTTCAATTTCCTTTAAATGGACAGGTAGTCATTGTCGCATCGAATTTAGATTGGGGTGAGATACTCCTCCAAGCCCATGCAACAGTGCCTTCCCACAGCGGCGAATTATCAGCACTTTATCCTCTCCCAACTCGGTCGGCTCCTTCAACAATGACGGGCCAGCGATGGAGTTATGAGGAGCAATGAGCACAAGGAGGTGTTGTATCATTTAACCCTTCCCGTGCCCAAAGGCACACAATGCACGAGAACCTTCCAAGAGATCCCACAAAGTACTCGGCCTTCCAGTCCCCGGGTTGGTCAAACGATTTCAAACTCTCGATTCTATATTCCTTCGGCTTAACCACCCGCTCACTTCCCGCCCTCCTTCGCTCTCAGACTCTCCAACCGTGCCTGATTCCGCTTCCCAATAATCCGCAAGGTATTTTCCTTCTCAATGTCTGCCATCTTGTCCCAATTCGATATCCGACTCAAGGTTCCGTCCACGTTCACGACCATCGGCCCCAGGTGATCCAGCTTGACCGACGCATCCCCGTTACTCATGTCGAGTTGTGTGGCAGAATTGTGCGGCGCTTCTGGCAGAGCTAGTGGCTTCTTTGGGGTCGTTGAGTCTGAGGCGTTGGGGTTGGGGTTGGCTTGGGGGTCTGTGTTCGAGTCTGAATAGGTTATCGAGCTCATGCTGAAGGGTCGAAATGCTGGAATCGTGCGGGCCAAGCGGGGGAGTGGAACACTGCGTGCGATGGCTCCGAGAAGAGATGGCATCTGTAAAGGGGAGAAGTGGCTGGTGGTCGAAAAAGGTGAATAGTTTTAGGTAGAGAGTATCGCGTCCGACTTTGAGAGACGCGTTGCGAGCCTAAACTTAAAATAGAATAGGGTCACAAGCGAAGGATTAGGCGAGCCCCTTAAATATTTTAAGGGGACGTCTTTCTAAGCGAGCCGCTAAAAGTCGACACTGGTGTCCTCCTCTAGGTAGGCTTCGAAGTACAAAAATTCTGTTTTACTTTGCACGATCCTATTCTGCGGCGAATTATTCAACACCAAGTGTAACAATCCGCTTCTAATACAACACAATGTGCGGCATTCTTGCTTTGATTTGTTGAAACGTGGAATTCAACGATGCCGCTGTCGATTCGCATGAGGCCATCTACGCACTGCAGCATTGGGACCAGGTAAGACATCGTATTTCTTCGCTCTTACTCCCTCTGAGTATATCCTATTACCTAAGAGCGTCTTTCAATCTATCCTACCCACTGCGTTCGTTATTTGGGGCAACTATACACTAATTAATATATTGCGGGAAACTTGCGATATTGCGGTATCCTACAAGTCAGGGCGAATCAATTCCTAGAAGCGTAAAAACCTAGCTTTAAAGGTCTTCCGTGATGGCGCAAGAATCCCTGAACTCCCTGGATTCATGGGCCTTGGCCATCTCCAATACCCTACTACAGGAACATCATTTAACTCGGAAAGTTAGCCCTTTTATATTAGCTCGTGAGTTTTGCCTATTATTATAAAGAAGCTTATAAATATAATAAATATTACTAGAAAACGAGTTCTTATAGCCACTTATTCTCACATAATAACTGTGACGGCAGGAACAAAGCAATGGAACGATGCTCAAAGATCTATGATTCCAATGTCCTACAGAATCTAAAGCTAAGGAGAGAAGGAGTGAGGTGTGGCAGTGGATAAGTAGGTATGGCCAAGACCACTGAAACGCCGAGCTTTGGAAGCGAGCTTGGTTTGAACCATAGCTTGGAACCTTAGCTAAAACCAACCCCTTGGCTGAAACCACGTCCGTATCAACCATGTGACACCAGCCGTCACACCCGAACTCAATTATTAAAGGCATTTTTATATAAAAATTAATAAAATATAAGTTTTAATTTTACTAATATATTTAAAAGTTATTAAACTAGAATATTATTTATAATATTAATATTAGTTAATATAATTACTTATATAGTATTATTTTATAATTATTTTTGTACTTGACTCCGGTATTATTCTTATTATTTTAGTTATTAAAGCTTTTAATTTATTATAATATTATATTTTTCGAACTTTTATAATAACTAAATATTATAAGAATATATAATTAAAGCTTAATACTTTATAAAATGTATTTAAAGGCAATAATATACTTCTTATTAATAATATGTGAGTATTTCTCTTAGTGATTTGAATCTTAGATCGAGCTAAATATTTAATAGTATTAGTATAGCAAAACGAGTCTGCAAGTTTGCAAGTTTGCAATATTACCGGAGAAGCATGGTATATTTTGCTAGTTTTTCCTCTTTCATACTAATATTACCTCAGATTACTTTTTGATTATTTTTACTTTACTATTGTCTATTTATTCACACATTTTACGGCGTTTATCTAGCCACCTCGACCGAATTAGTTGCGTACAAGCGTAATCGAAAGTCTATTTCAGCATTAATAAACGCGGACAATATCGTTTTCTTGACCTTGGGAGATCTTGAAGCTGCATGTTCCAAACTAAGTCCTCACCCTAAGCAACGTTTGAACTTGTGTCTCCTGCTAGACATACGTGGCGCACGTGTGTCTCAAGGATACCCGGAGAAGTTAGATAATGCCCGCGGCAAGCCACAGGCCATTTGAAGGGACCACAATGGGGCATTCGTGATTGTTGGGGACAGTATGACAACGCATACAATAGTATCTGAGCGTTCAGACATCTGTCTTCGCAACCTGGTCGGCGATACTAACAACATGAGCATATGACAACGCGAAGTATTCGAGGTTCGGAGTTGGTGCCCGTATCGCATCTGCGCAAGAGATACCCTATTCCTCGACCACGCAAATTTGAGGGAATTGGGTTTGGAGCGTTGGTAAGAAAATCTCCGGTATGCCGGTCGACTCATCGTACTTGTACCTAAGGTTTGATTGCTGAACTGGAGTAGATAATCTGAATCCTTGCCTTGGCTGAAGTTTTACAACGGTATGAAGATCAATGCAGCACAATTCTTGAAGATACGGGGTTCTTGTATGTCGGATTTCTTTCCGGAGGAGACTAGATAGGTTGTCTTTTAAATTGGAAGTGCTTCTTGGTGGAAATAAGAGGTGGCACTCACACAACAGGAGATATGCAGACAACGACCAGGGACATATTGATCACCTACGAGCCCAATTGCATAAGGCTACAAGACAGTGCAGGGGGAAAAAGCAAACGAGGACGAAAGAGACGTCTCGAGGGAGCAAAAATCCCTCTGTTGACTGGCGAATTAGCTACTTGACCAGTCGGTACCACTTTCAGCAAGAGACATGCTAAGACAATCAATTATACGTTGAGGCGTTGTTCGATTCAGCTTGATATTGTGTGGTCAACTTGAGGAAAGGCTTGTGTGAGATACACCAAGCCGTGATTTCACACCTCCGCAGGATCGCATGTTTGAGGCTAAGCCTTCTCGTACGATACGACTGGTCGGGGAAATTTAAATGATTTCAAGTCCCGATCAGGCAATGACTATTGCATCCATGTTGTTTTGACTCGCATCACGAACGCGGCCGACTACAGGTCTGTCATTCCAAAGCTTCCAAATCTCTTTCCCAGAGAGCGAGACATGCTTCCGACTTATCGCAAAAACAGCAACTAAAATTCTCATCTCCTCCTCATCTTCCACAAACTCATACTCCTGTCTAACGGTCGGAATGATAGACCGTTGAAACATCAGATTAGTATTAGAATCTGGTTTCAACGCCTCCCCTTTTCCTGCACCACGGAGCAAGTGCACAATGCCACTGACTCCAGCAGAACTTAAAATCAACGAAGAATCACCACCATCTAGAACCCCATCGATAATGTTCTCGTGGTCATTTCCGAAGTCCGCTGCATTGAGTTGCGGCAGTGCAGTCCCATCTTCACGGCGGCAAGGCACTGCGAATCCTCCTTCTACTGTTCTGATGAAGTTAATGGTTGGTTTTACAGTATCTCGTCGTCTGATGGTATGCACTCTGATATGCCAATCCGGCCAGCGCTTTGTTGGAGCGATGAGCGTCGTCTCAATTCTCAGAGGTGATTTTTTGCTTGGTGACCAAGTTGCTGAAAGCTTTGGAACTTCCTCGGACGAGCCGTCAGATCGCCGAAATTGTACTGTTCCCAATTGCGGATCGGCAGTCTTCCACATCAAGCGCCAAGTATCACCCTCGTCCTCGCTGATGGCCAAGGTATTATCAGGTGCCATTTGTTGAATCAATGGTCCGGTTGGGACGCTGAAACTAAAGGTGGAGGAGTACGCGAATTTGCAGTATTTGGCTTCAGATGCTTTGATGGGCCAGGGGCAGAATTGGCCTAGTGAGAGGAGGTAGTGATGATGTGACGAGGAGACGAGTATCTGTTTTGGTTCATCCAGACCCACAACAGAAATAGGTACGGTAGGTGGTGCTGTGGAGCTTGAAAGTGAGGAAAGTAATTTCGCGAGAGGATGTGGCAGCTCCTTACACGTCCAGAACTCATGAGCTTCGGGGAGGGAAATGGAGATCAAGGTCTTTAGACACCAGTAAGGTGACTGAGGGGAGTTGTAATCTTCACACATGTACATATTAGGGTAGGCGTAGCCAATGTTGAACGTTCCATCTAGGTTGAAAATATCCGGGTGTTTCGACCACCAGCGTAAGTGCCGCAGGAGAAGGCCTTTCACGGTTCCTAAGTTCAAAGACGGAGGAAGGGGAACCTCCGCAACGATAACCGCAGACCAGAATCCGGCTGCGGCAAATCGATATGTAAGACTGCGTCCAAATGGAATGGCAGCACCTTGAAATTGTCAACACCGGAATCTAGTCACTAGGAATCGAGTCTTGTAACCTACCATCAAAGTCGAAATACCTCCAAAATTGATCACCAAACAGCCTTCCTCTTTCCTTGAAGACTTCGCACCTTTCAGGGTCGATATCTGAAGCATACTTGACATACAACAGCTGCGAAAACTGAATCGCAAAACTCGAAGAGTAATAATCAGCCTGTCTACCCTGATCACTCCAGAACCCATCTGCAGCCCAGCCATTTCCCAAGTAGAACTGGTTGAGAATATCATGGTCTGAGTCCATGAGCTCTTTCACTTCCTCATACGGAACTCCACAGGCTTTCACCAGCGCTAAATTTGCCATGATTCTGAACCATCGCCAATTGTTGAACGGCATTTCCTTGCCATTGATGGCTCGGATATACTTGATGACCCGCGCCCGTGATTCGAAGTTCCTCGTCTCTTGGGGTGTGAGATTTGAAGGCTCTGCTGGGAGTGAAGGAACAAATGCCTCTGGTGCAACAAGCAATGCATAACCAATAATTTCGAGCTCCACCATGCGTTGATCAGTCGTCCGGAATCCGCCCCAATACTCTCCATGAATGCCATGCTCGTTCTCAGGATTTGTGCCTGCTATCAAGCCATCAACCCAGGGTTGGAGCCGTGGGTCAATGGGATTGTTCTTGGCTGAAGCGAGGAGTGCCCCCACAGCCCATAACGGCCTGGCGAATCCTTCTAATTGAGCAGCTACTTCATCGAAATGTGCTCCTGTTGACACAGGTAGTCGAATTCGTGCTCCCAGGGGTGATGTGTACTCTTTGAGGGGTGAAAGTAAAGCCCATGTTGCAGTCACGCAGTCTTCTCGGGTTCGGAAGGGGTTGTCTGAAAAGCCAGCGAGACCGGGCATGATTGCTTTACTTTCTCGTGAAAATAGTAATTATCGATATTTAGAAGATTTTCGGCAAGAAGGTGACTAACATGGCGTATGAGCAGGCTGTCAAATGAAATACCTGTCGTCATCTGCTTTACATGTTGTTGCAGACAGATCACGAGTCGAAAATCAAGCAACCCCCACTCTCCGACTAAGCTTACCCCTCCTTACGAGTTAAGCGAGGTGGGGTTCAGGGGACTTGGGCATCGGGGTATTGCTCGGACCGCTGCCCGGCGTTGATCGACAACGCCATCAAACTTCTTATGGGCAGGTGTACGCCGGGCAAAGGCCGATTTAGACATTCTAATCCCAGCCGGGAACGGAATTCATCCGAGCTCTCTTCCATATTAAAGCTCTCGGGCCAAAACGTCAGCCAACCGAGGTGCAAGACTTGGTCGGCTGAAGGAGCTGATCTCGCAGCTTTCATTATGGCGTCGAGACAACAAAGCTCTCCCGTTATTGCGAATCTGTCAGATATTGAGGATATGGCTTTAGCACAAGAAAACAAGTTAGAAAATCTGACTCCGGCTTCCTCGGTTGCCTCATCTCCAGATGTCGCTGCCGAGAAGCAGAAGCCAATTCTGAGATCTCAACCTGCCCCTCCAAGACTAGGTGTCGAGCTCTCAGAGCTATTCACAGAAAATGTCGTCGCGAAAATATGGAGAGTTGCAGTTCGAGAATTGGAGAAGCAAGTACGTTGCCCGCACGCCCCTTAAATACATCCGTCACTAATTCTTGCAAGAATCCACCAACCCACTACCCAGAATACATCACCACCACCAGCCCCAATGCAAACTATTATACCCTCCGCGAAGCCAATTTTTGGACCTGTGGTTTCTTCCCCGGAAGTCTGTACGCTCTCCTGGAGCGCTGCAGGAAATACCCCCAGTTTCTCCCTCTCCCCGCCGCCCATCGTCCGGCATTCCAAAAGCAACTTTTGAAGCTATGTCGAGACTGGGTTGTTCCAATACGTGCAATGGATACGAGAACCGATACTCACGACATGAGCTTCATCATCCAGCCAGCGCTCCGCATGGATTGGGAACTCACTGGCAACCACGAGAGTTTGAAAAACGTGGTTACCGCTGCGGAAAGTCTTGTGAGTAGATATGATGAGAGGGTGGGGGCGATCAGGAGTTGGGATCAGGCTGTTAATTATAGATATTCGTTTACGGATATGGAGAAGGACTTTTTGGTGATTATTGATAGCATGTGCAGTAAGTTTTCCCTCCCTTCGAACTTGTGTTAGACAGGTTGTTGACATTGATGTCGAATAGATCTCGATCTCCTCTACTACGCTGGTCACCAAACCGGAAACCAGAAATTAATAGACATCGCTACAACACACGCTCACACCGTCCTAAAAACCATCGTCCGAGACGACTGGTCCACCTACCACCTCCTCAACTTTGATGCCAAAACAGGAGAAATCAAAGATCAGCTCACGAATCAAGGGTACCGAGACTGGTCGACATGGAGTCGAGGACAAGCGTGGGCTGTGCTAGGCTTCACGCAGACTTATACATGGACACACGAACCCGTGTTCCTAAACGCAGCCATATCAATCTCGAAGTATTTCATCTCGCGGCTCGCGTCGCCGAAAGTGGATGCTCATCCTTATGTCCCGCTGTGGGATTTCGATGCACCGCTGGACACATCGCCTCCCCGGGACACTTCAGCTGGCATGATTGCTGTGAACGGATTCTTATTGCTGCACCAGATTCTCATCTCTGAACATCGAGCAGATGAAGCGACGGAGTTTCTGGATGTCGCGGTGAGGATTATGAGGGAAACAACTGAGCTGGCTTTGTCTCGAGACAGCGCGAAGTTTGAGGTCCCGTTAGAGGGGAGAAAGGAGGATTATCCGGTGGTCAAGGATGGTGAGGATGGGAAGCACTTTGACGGGATGTTGATGCATGCTACGGCGAACAATAATGAGGATGCACATAAGCGGTATTGGGATCATGGGTTGGTATATGCGGATTATTATTTTTTGGAAGCCGGGAATAAGTTGATGAGGATGGGGTTGGTATGAGTTGGAATGGGATGAGAGCACGAGAATGAGTTGGGAATAGCAGAATTGGATGAGATGAGAAGATAAATAAAGAATGAGATAGAAGGTTTCTCACATACCGGGTATCATAAATATGGGGTTGAGGTGTAAGCGACTTAAGCACAGTTTCCATTTTTTGTGAAGTAAGACCTCATTGTTCCAAGATCTAAGCATAATTCCACAGATCAAAGCCCAACGCAAAATCCATGTCATCGAGCGTAATAACCCGATCCATATCCAAGAATTCTTGATCCATCAACAGATTCGACACAGCAAGTAACTCTGCTGTATCATGACTGGTGTGACCATTCACTTCTTGATGCATACTCTGCAATCCTGCACTCCTATCTTCGGTGTTGTTGAGGTTTGCGTACCAAGTGGGCGACAATCCAGTTGGACGTCGAATGTGGGTCTGTGAGCGCGGAGATATTGCTGAGGTGGGCGACTGTGTTGCGAAAGGAACTGTAGTGGAGGTCCCATACATGTGGCCGAATGTATTTGCACCGTCGCGAGGGCTCTGTCCAGACTGGTTGAGCTGCCTGAGATAGTTAGGGGCGGTCAATCGAGGACGCGGAGATGAAGATGTGGCTGCCAAGGGAGGTGGAATAGCAAGAGGAGGAAGAAGGCCACCATAGTTCGGGTCTAAGCGGAAGTTTGGAAGACCAGAACATTTTTGGTGCAAACACTGCAGATGCAAAAGGTATTTGCAGGCTAGATCTAGGTTTGAGGGGTGGATGGTGTTGTGCTCGGAGGAGTCGGTGGCTCCTCGACAGAGCTCAGACATCCGCTCGAGGTTCTCTAATAGAATGAAGTATTCGGGAAGAAGAGGGTTATTGAAGAATCGCCAGTGGACTTTTGAGAGTCAGAACGTTCCCGACAAATGCAGAATAAGGGTGCCTACCAAGCAGTATCCTTGCAGCAACGAAATTGCAGAGTGCAAATTGGCTGCTCAAGATGCCAATTTCAGTATGTTTCAAATATTTCTGACCAATGGATGCTGTCTCAATCGCTGCGGATTGGCAAGTGTCTGCGCTGCAGGAGCTCGGGAGTTTAACGAGACCATCCCAATCAGGTGGAGGGTACGCAATGTGCTGGTGCAAAAGTATCATGGACGTGTTATGAGTTATGTGTGCAAGAGTGAGGTTTGGATCCATGTTGATGAGGGCGGTGTCTCGTGAGACGTTCGAGTCTTTCCACTTTTGAGGGAGGAACATTTTCCAACTGCAATCAGGTCAGCGACAGCTTCAAATGAAAATACCTTTAATTTTAGGGCATCATGTCAGGTCCACATCTGCCAGAATGGAGACCTACTGAACAAGCCGCAAATCCAGCTCTTTGAACCTTGTGAGCCAACTACTAAATTCGGAAGCATCACGAAAATTGACTCTCTGCTGCAAGAAGAAAGATGTGACTTGACTCAGAGATTCTGTCGCTTCAATACAATAGGCAAAAGCACCGAGTTTCGAAGTGTCCACTGGTCCAACGCACGAGGTTGCAGTGGGACTTCGATGATCAGTCTCATGCTCCGATGTGGGGTAGTGGGCTGGAATATAAGCAACGGAGTTGCCGATCTTTGCAGCTGCTTTGTTCCAGATCCCAAAGTATGGAGTCAAAGCAGGTGTTCCTTTATGCCACAGCTCGCCATCGCAAGGGAGCCGACGTTGCACGTCGTCTGATGTTAAGCTTGTGCTCCATCTAGGTCATCGATCAGTCCGGATCTGGGCGATATTGCTGGAGAGCGAGCTACTCACCCTGTGGTTATAGAACAGAACCTGCATACCCTTAGTAGATATTCGTGCATAGCTATGTTGAAACATACCTGTCTAAGAGAAATACATTCCAGAAGACTCTCCTTCGATCCTCTGACTCTGTCCAATCTACCGGACTATCCAGTAGTGAAAGCGGAGCTGACAAGGAGCCGCGCTGTAAAGTATCCGGTTCAACAGTGAGCTGTAGATACTCGACAGTTCTCGTCAATGAGCCGATGATGGACCAAGCCTTGCACACCTGTCCAGTGATGATCTGTATATTTTCGTCGGCAATGATAGATCAGAGACGGGCTAAACTCACTGCAGTAGATGCTACAATGATCAGTGCCTGTACATTCTCTATAGTCAGACTATCCAACGCATTCAAAATCACGGTATTTCTGGAAAGCTCCACTTGACGCTCTATATCTGACTTCTCGATGTTGAGATTTTCAAGATCCAAACGATGCATTGAAGCATACACGATTGCGTGCAGAATGAGCTCGAGCTTGGTTCGCTTGTGAGGGTCTTCGATATCTCTCCTGAACCGTAATGGGTGAAGGAAAGGAATCCAGTGATGTGTACTAGAGAAGAACGCATCGATAGTGGCGCTCAGTATCTTATCCGATGGCAAGGAACTAGGAGCCTCGTCGCCATCAGTGGGTGTCTGACGTCCATTCATTGAACCACCCCTTTTGCGTTTTCTAGATGGACCTTCGCTCTCAAGAGTTTCGGTTGTATCCTTCGCAATGGAATCGCTGTCCCTGCAAGACTGAAGACTCTCCCTGGCATCGTGATTACCGCTCAGGGCTCGACCAAGCAGGCCGGTCTGGGGTTGGAGCTCTTTTGCAAGCAATATTGATGCGTGGTAAATGCAGCCATGCTCATTTCCTGACTGTTTCTGGTTGCCTTCGCCATCGAGGAGGATCCTTTCCAACACCTCTACTCTCATTAACCTCAAAGATCAATGAGATTGACAAGGTAAACATACCAAGACGTCTGTTCAAGGCCTCAATAGCACCGCTTTTCACACCGGGCTTATCTCTTCGCTCGTATTGGCACGTGCATCCTACCAGGGCATGTCATTAAGATGGTTCAAGGTGGATACCAATTCCAATACCTAATCTGGTACATTGAGAGCAGCTCGGACTTTCACGAGAACATTTCAGCTTCCTTTTTCGACACGACTGGCATGCTGGGATCTCGTCTTCACGAACAGAATGGCTGGATCCGTTCTTCTCTGAGTTATTCTCTGCTGGAGGTGGCTGGGACGCATCTTCCTGCAGGCCCGACGCTTGAATCTGAGGCATGATGCATGGGGTCCACCATGGCCGTCGGAAGGGCTCCGAGGTTTCTTTTCGGTGGCCGGAAAGGGCTGCGATGCACAGATTGTTGGCAGAACTGATAGGCTAAGACTCATATCAAGCGGTTGATGTTGTTGATATGTATGTCACGGAAAATTGGAAGAAGTCTCGGGCATGCTTACCCCGATGCCCATCTCCAATAATCTCCATGCCCCACTTTGTCCCCAGGATTCCCCCGCAACACGTGATTTTCTCCTCTTTGTCACATATACCTCGGTGGATATATTTCCAAGCTTCACGCACTTCTTTCAGAGATGCCCACAAGGGCCCGGAGTCTTCACTCTTAAATATCTGGTATTGGAAGTCGAAGGCAGTGGATAGTTCCCATTGCAGCTGCCGCCATGTCACACACCGTCGACCATCGCCAGGTCGCCATCGGCAGTGATGAGCCTGTCGTGTTGACAGAAGTTGCTTCTGAGATTGTAGTGAGCCCTGCTACGGCCAAGTCGAGATCGTTCTTGGGTCTACTCAAGTACATGGTGGATTGGTACCCAAAGAGCTACTCTGCCTTGGAGAGAAAAACAGTCTTCAAGCTGGACTGTTTCCTGTTGCCAGTCTGTGGAATTATGTGTAAGTGGACCTGGACTCACTCTATTGATACGCACTAATCTTCTAAATAGTCTTTTTGAAATGGTTGGATCAGTCAAATGTCAATAATGCCTATGTGTCAGGCATGAAAGAAGAGCTGAACTTGAATGGCAACCAGTAAGATGAGAACTGACCTTCCAGCTTCTGATTCTGACGACATCATAGATACTCACTTTTCGGCACCTTCTACAACATTGGATACTTGGCTTTCCAAATCCCGTCTCTACTTATCCTGTCTCGACCCCATCTTGCCCGCTATTTCATCCCGACATGCGAGGTTCTCTGGTCGATCCTTACCTTCAGTCAGAGCAGAATGGAAAATGCTGCAACGATCTATGGGACACGATTCTTACTTGGGGTTCTTGAGACCCCCGTTGCATCCGGATCCCTTTATGTCCTATCCTCCTGGTGTAGGTGTTGGGGGAGAAACCTTTTCCTATTTCGGACTGTTTCATGACTTTCTCCTGAGACAATGTCCTCTCCCGAAACAAACTTAGTCTAGAAATGCTAACTCCCCCGTTACCTAGACCGCCCCGACGAGCTCTACAAACGTGCAGGCGTTTGGTACGTTTGCAACAATGCTGGAGTCATGTTTGGAGGCTACATGCAAGCGGCAGCGTATACGAATCTGAATGGAGTCGGAGGAATGGCAGGTTGGAGATGGCTGTTTATCATTGACGGCATCTTCAGTCTACCCATTGCCCTTCTCGGATACTTCATCTTCCCGGGTCTACCAGCCAGTGGCAAACCTTGGTGGCTCACCGCCGACCAGTATCAACTTGCGAAGAAACGAATGAACGAAGAGGGCATGGAGGACAGCGTGAAGTTCAGCAAGACCAAAATAAAGGCTATGTTGAAGAGGTTGTTCACAAATTGGCATTTCTACATCGCCGTTCTCACCTACACATTGTAGGTGTTCAAGTTCTCCTCGGCTGATACATGCACTAACTTGAAGCTTTCTTCTCAGTTTCCTCTCCTCTGGTTACCCCAACGGACAGATGGGTCTCTGGCTTAAGGCCGAGAACAAATTGGGGGCGCACTGGACTGTGCCACAGATCAACACCATACCAACGGGCGTATCAGCTGTTTCGATCGTGTCCACGCTTCTACTTACCTCGTTGTGCATGCTCTACCCTCTGTGGGTAATCATGAGTATTAATCAGGCAATCTTGTTGTTCGCTTGCTTGTGTTTGCTGATTTGGAATATTCCAGTGGCATTGAAATGTAAGGAAATCTCATACCAAGGCGGCTCCAACTTCATACTAACTTCGAATATAGTTTTGTCTTTCTACCTGTTTGGCTTCACAGCCCCAGTAACACCAATCTTGATTCCTTGGGTCAATCGTATCTTGAGAGATGACGCCGAAGCACGAGCCTTCACAACTGGCGCAATGGTAAGAATGACCCTATTATTCAATTCTGAAAGATTGCTAATAGTATGAAGTTGACATTCGGCTGGGGTTTGAATGCAGGCTTCCCCATCGCCGTATTTCCCGTTGTAGAAGGCAAGACACACTTCTTTGCATGTATAAAGCTCTTTACTGACCAGCTTCGCAGCTCCTCGGTGGAAGAAAGGCTATGCCACAGATCTCGCTTTCATTTTCATGGTTTGGGCCTTGTTCACGCTCGGACAATATCTGGAAAAGCGGGATGAGAAAAAGGCGGCTAGAAACCGAGTCATTGATGAGGAATCGAAACTTGATGAAAAGGCCTCTCACGTGGAAATTATTAAAGTGGACTGATTGGTGGACAAAATCTCGAGTTGGTTCGAGTTGAGAGGATTAGATGCCGCGTGATGCAACGGGTTGCTGAAGATGGAGTCTTTCCAATTAATTGATAATTGTATAAAACACTGTGCAAGAACCGCCAATTCATAATCATCAGCAACTGGTGTAAGATTATGTGATTGGTTGAACTGAAGGCCGATTCAAGTAACTTTGCCGGACAGAAAGAAGGATGACTCTATGCTCTGAATATGCCCTCAACTGACGACAGTCCACTCGTGAATCAGGGAAAGGAGGACGCGAGAAACCAATCCAATCAACATATAAGAAGCAGTACAGGGAGCAACCAAGAAATTAACTCTTCCTGTTCCTCCCCTCTTCACTTACGGTTACATATATCCCAGAAGAATGGTAGCCTTTGAGGACCCAACGTCGAGCATAAGAAAGGCCACTGAAGTAACACCACTACTGAAACTTAATAGACACCTCATCAATGGACAAACGTTCATCCTCTCAAGAGAGCTTGGTGCACATACCCACCAGATCTAAGAAGAAGAAACCCGGCCATGTCGGCACAAATTCTTAGCAAGTCTCGCCCGACGACCAGCAAACGGGAAATCTGGTCGATAGTTTCTAATCAGCCCGTTCAAATTGCATGCCTCAATAAGAGACTTCTCCAAATGATGAAGGCTAAGATAGCTCAGAAAGCGAAAAAGATCTCGGGGAAGAACGGGAAGCTCAAGGAGGAGTGGGCAAGCTAGCCATGGGTGGTGTGGAAGGGCGGATGCGTCATGCCTTTTGGGCTTCTGAAAGCACTTTCGAGTAAACAGAGATCTTTGAATAAAGCTGCACATAGTCGAGTAGATGAATCAGGAGTAGAGGACAATTGAAAGCAGACGGAAGCCAGAAGTAGATGCAAAACAATGATGTTTCGTTCGACCTGAGAATTGCGAAACCGTGATTGGCTCACAGTCGGGAAAATGTGCCGCTTGAAAAAACGGCTCCAGAATTTCTCGACCTTCACATCAACGCCTTCAACGACTGCGAGTATGTTGACAGCTCGCAAAGCTCCCAGGGCATGTCAGTCATGTCGTGTGCAGCTGCTCTCTCTCTTTGAACACGGCTTTACTCAGCCTGCGAGCCCCAATGCGTCACGACTGCGATACAGCCCCCAAAGCCTTCCAGCTCCTCAGCCTCGCCACAGTTTAACTGTCAGAAGATTCACAACCACCCAAATTCGAGCAGACGAACCCAAGCAAGATCTGCCAGAGGTCGTGGAGGCAAGGGCAGTGAGCATTGAGTCGATAGTCAGGCAGGCAAGACAGACGTTTGGGGAAACGCTTCCGAAGGATTATCTCTCGACAGAGGAATACGTGCTCTACGAACGATTATATGGCCCACCCCTACGCGAAACGAGACCGGATGACCTGGAATATATACCTGATGGAGGAGAGGAGGCCACAGGGGACAGTGTACGAAATGTGCTGTTGAAGGAGACCGGAAATGGAGAATTTGAAGAAATCGAATTTGATCCTGCGCTGGGATTTTCTGTCATTGAAGATGGAATGTCCGCGGCGGACTATGAAGTGGACGAATTAGAACTGAATGCAGAGGAAGAGATCATTGCGGGCGAAGCTCTAGAAGCTGCTCTCGCTGAGCAGGCCGAGTCTCAAATGTCTGCAGAAGGTGAGGATATAGTCCAAGCCCAGGGGAAGAACCAGAGGGAGATTAATGCGATATCACGACTTCAACGAGATATGGATGAAGTCGTGGCACCGCCGGCTTACGAGGAGGACGATATTGACGAAGAGTATGAGGAGGACCTGGAAGAGGACCAGGAGGAGGAAGAATATGAGGAAAACGAGTCAGATACCTACCTCGATTCCGACACCACTCGAACACATCCGCATACAATGACTGCACGATCCGGTACGAATCCAGCTACATTGTCATTGCCCGAGGAGCAGATGATAAAGCCCATGTCCGAACTGCTCGCCCGAGCGGACATGAAACATATTAGGGAGGCTGCGGAAAAGGCATTTGGCGGGAAGGGTTTGCCATATTCCTCCTCGACGCCCGCATCGAAGAAGTTACTTCCGCAGAAGCATATCGGGCTAGATGCTTCACAGCACAGGATGTCTGAGATCGAGGCAGATGCGTATATTGCGGGTGTCTTGCCAGGTACCTATGCGTCTGTTATGAGTACCCTGGTGGAAGTCCGAAAGCGTCTTGGGAGGGAATGGTTGCGCGACCTGATCTTCCGAGAGGGCGGAGAAGGGCCTAGAGTGCTGGATGCTGGTGCAGGAGGGGCTGGTATAATTGCGTGGAAGGAGGTCTTGCAAGCGGAATGGGATGTTCTGAAGGACGAAGGTATCGTGAAAGGGGGAAACCCTCCATCTGGAAAAGCTACAGTTCTAACGGGTTCGAACTCTCTCCGGCATCGAATATCAAAGCTGCTTGATAATACCACGTTTCTCCCTCGTCTGCCCGATTATATCCATGCTTCAAATCTAGAAACCCACCTGGATGGGTCTCCTGCCCAAGGACGCAAAGCTTTCGATGTCATAATCGCACCCCACACATTGTTTCCTTTGAAAGAGGACTTTCGACGCAAGAACATGGTCCAGAACCTGTGGTCACTTCTCAACCCCAATGGCGGTGTTCTGATTCTCATTGAGAAAGGCTTGCCTCGCGGATTCGAGGCAATAGCAGGTGCAAGATCTCTCCTCCTTAACTCGCATATCTCGTCGCCTGGAGATACAGCCTTAGAGTCTCGGATCGAATCAGCAGACGCCGAACGCTTCATTGCAAAGGAGGAGGGCATGATAATTGCACCTTGCACGAACCACTCGAAATGCCCAATGTATCCAATTCCTGGGCTCAGTACAGGCAGAAAGGATTTCTGCCATTTCGAGCAAAGATTTATTCGCCCTGCATATCTGCAGCGATTACTGGGTGCCAAGATCCGCAATCACGAAGACGTCAAATACAGCTATGTCGCGGTCCGCCGTGGTGTTGATGCTAGAAAGGCTACAAACGCCTTGATGCAAGGTGAGGAAGCCACTCTTCAATCATTTGAAGGCTATGAAGGACACGATTTGCCCGATGCCGAAACAGAGATGTCTTTGGAAGCAAGCGATATCAAGTTCCATCCTTTGTCCCTACCTCGCTCAGTTCTTCCGCCGCTTAAGCGTCGTGGACATGTCACCCTTGATCTCTGTACCCCATCCGGCAAGCTAGAGCGCTGGACCGTTCCTAAGAGTTTCAGCCGAACTGCATATCGAGATGCGCGAAAATCGAAATGGGGAGATCTTTGGGCGCTGGGCGCAAAGACCAGAACGCCGAGACCACCTCGACTCGGTAGACTGGGAGAAAATGGCAAGGGAAAGGCGAAGAAGGTGAAGGGCATTCGAGATGGAAGGATGGGCAAAGGTGGAAAGAAGATGAAGAAGCATCAGTTTAATGAAGACGATTTGTGATGAAGTGTATTAAAACCTTTTACGGGTGGTTTGCGTAAACGGAGTCAGATCTCTGCTCTTCAAATATTGTATTATACTCTAGGGCGTGCCCAGCATGATCCAGGTCCAGAACCTTTCAAAACGAACCACTCCAAGACACGTCCCTAGCCCAATGCCTCCATCATCTCAGTCCTTCCTCACTTTGGAATGTTCGGCGGCTCCTGGGACATTTATTCACTGTCGTCCACTGGCTCCAGGATGCGCCGGCTACACACCCGATCTTTGTAAGATCTTACTTCAGCAATCAAGAGCAGGTTTCTACACTTCATGGAAACCCAGCGCAACCTCAAAATGATACCTCATAGCGTCAAAAGTCGCTCACCAGTTGGGACCATAATCTTCGTAGTCCTCTGTTGTCTCGATCCCCTCCTTCAATACGCCGTCCTGGCTCATGGCTTGTGGGGTCCTTTCCTCGACCTTCTCAACGTCTCTTCTTCAGCTCCGGATGTGTCCCTAGGCCTATCCACCAAATCCCTGATCCTTCTAGCAATGACTCTCGGGTCGATCATAAAGAAAATCTACACTATTCTCTACACAGCAAATGAAATAAGGCCCATATCCAGCGCAGCGATCATCTCAGCCCCGCAACCAGTTTTCACCTCCGCAAATTCAATTATTTCTCTCACTACCGCTATATTATTCTTCACACCAGGAGTTCTCTCCAGTAATACCAAGTATGGGATATCTCTGGTCTTTATGTAAGAACTGTTGACTATATCATAAGCTATCAGGCGAGATCATCTCCGACATACAACACAAGAAGTTTAAAGACGATCCCAAGGATACTGGGAAGCTGTATGCGGTTGGTTTCTTTTAATTTGCTAGAAATGTCAATTATAGTTCGAATTTGATAAGGAGGGTTGTGTATGCTGTTGCAAGTGGATGGTGGGTTTATGGATTGCTGTGTCTGGTGATGTTTGCCGGGCAAATTTTGATGATGGGTGTGCCGGTTGTGGATAGGTATTGTGCGAAGAGGGTGAGCTTTCCCCCAATGGTGGTGAATGGTGCTAATGGGGATAGTAGAGGGCTCAGTGGGTTGAGTATAAGAAAAGGGTGCCGCATAAGTTGATTCCTGGGGTTATTTGAAGACAAAGTTGAAACATTTCAACAGAGGTACTTTGGCCAGGTAATAGTGGAAGAAGTATTCATACGAGAGTGCGATGATACTATCATTTACTGCTCTTGTTTCTTGTGGTTTGCGTAAGATTACAATGAAGGGTCTTAAGGTCAAGTCTCGTGATCCCATGCTCAGGGGCTCCAGCTTGTCACGCTGAATGCGGTCTCTTGAGGTCACCGTGAAGAGTCTTTAGAGATATAAATTGCAGGTGAAGTAGAGGCTGGAGTTGTGCACAGTAGAAACCTTTCCAGACTGCACAACGAGTCTTTATCGAGGCTTTGTAGAAACCTTTAGAGAAGAAACTCCCCGCATGTAGGGCGGAAGGACCAGGAAAGAATCAAGATTTCTACACTCTGTGTAACCCGTCGATACACGCCTGGCATTGGTTCCTCAATATTTGCTAGTGATTGCCGGAAAAAGTAAAGTTTGTGTGTTGCCCCTTCCTTGCTTCGCCCGCTCCTTCCATAACTGACCTCAAAAATGTTCAGATTGTCCCTCTCCAACTCCTGAACATTATCGCTGCAATGTCGTTCTTGGTTGACTCCATTCTGAAGCTCGTGGACTACGTGCCTTTGTTCCTCGCCATAACTAGCGTCATCGTTCTGGTCTTTTGGCGGCCGTCCGTCCACCTTGATCCGGCAGAACCACGTCTTCTCAGGCCGAAAATCCCATACATCGGTCATGCAATTGGATTCCTGAGACACCAAACAAAGTACTTGGCAATCCTAAAGTATCTTCTCCTCTCCAGCAAATGTTTGGTCCGCGTTTGACAAGAGAATTCTAGCAGCCAAGTTTCGCAGCCAGCGTACACACTTCCCGTTCTCAACAAGAAAATCTACGTCGTCACCTCCCCAAGCTTGCTCCAAAGCATTTTCCGGTCGAAGGAGCTGTCTTTCGAACCGTTTATGCTTCAGTTCTCCCAACGCTTGCTTGGCGTTTCGGACAAAGTCATGGAACCAACAAGACGCGAACCAGAAGATGCAAAGGCGCCAAGCTTCGTGCAACAAGTTATCAAGGAGATTTACACTTCGCTTTCTGGAGAAAGTCTTGTCGATATGAATCTGAGTACATTGAATGGGTTTGCATCCGTGCTCAATGGTATCAGTGATGCATGTTCAGTGGACGGTCTGTACAGGTGGCTTCGGTCAACTTTGACACTTGCGACGACGGATTCCATTTTTGGCTCCCACAACCCCATGAAATTGCAGCCAGAATTGATTGGCTTATATTGGTATGTTGTTTATCGATCTTTCTGCCTTCGCTCATTAACATTTGGTAGGGACTTTGAAAGCAACCTGACCCCACTTCTTTTGGACTTTGCCCCATCTCTTCTGGCCCCGACGGCGCACCGTGGGCGGCAAGCCATCAAAGCAACTCTGAGTAAGTACTACGTTGCACAACATGACTTGGAACCTGACGTCGCCCGGATAACCAAACAACGAGCTGTTCTCCTTCGAAAGTACGGAATGTCGGATCACGATGTCGGCGAGTTCGAGCTCGGTCTTCTCCACGGAGCACTTGCAAACACACCACCAATCCTCTTTTGGCTGCTTGTACACATCTTTGCTTCAGTTTCTGTCACGGCTGCTATCCGGAACGAGCTCCTAGGCCTCACCTCTACGCCTGCTGATGGCAAGCGAGAAGTGTCTATCAAGATCACAACATTCGAGTCTCAGTGTCCAATCCTTGTCTCAGCCTACCGGGAAACACTCCGTCTGACTAACTCTCACATCGGTGTTCGCAGAGTGATGACCGATACTTGGATCTCCGACAGCAATTCCACATACCTGCTCAAAGCTGGCGCGGACATTCAGATGCCAGCTGAGATCACGCATCTGTCGTCGAACACCTGGGGTCCGACGGCCAAGGAATTCGATGCTGGTCGTTTTCTCAAGCCCAAATGCAGGGGGGCTAAGGAAAACCAGGATCTCAAGGACAAGATGAAAGCATATCATCCGTTCGGAGGCGGCAAGCATTTGTGTCCTGGTAGGAATATCGCGTTTGCGCCATGCTTGGGTGTGGTTGCGGTCCTACTATTGGGTTTCGAGGTGAAGGGTATAAATAACGAATTAGTGGAAGTTCCGGACATTAGAAGTGTGAAATTTGGAGAAGCAGTTGTTAAACCTTTTGGAGAGGGACTGGAGATGGGAGCGTTGATCACGAGACGTAAAGGTTGGGAGAAAGTTATGTGGAAATTCGTTTGTTGATCTTATGGTCCACCAGGAAGACGTCTACTAAGAGTAAGCTAGAGGTCAGTCTTGGCAGATTTATAACATGAACTCTTTTCATTGTCTATTACAAGGCTACAAACATACTTTTTGACTTCGACGGTAAACTTGCAGCTTCACGCAAGGCATCCACACAACTCTCCAAGCGCCTACGGTAGTAATCTCTGGGTCTAAGTGCGGCGGCTTCCCGAATGCCTAGCCACTGCAAAGCCTTTTCAGCGGTTAATTGCACATCAGACTCGAGATCTTCCGTCTCCAGTGTCTTTTGCATCTTTCGAATGTGGTCTTCGTACAACTTCAAGGCATCATCTTGTCGATCCTGGGCTTTGTAATACCGACCGAGTCTATAACAGACTGATAGCACTTTAGCACTTGCAAGTGGACAGTGTTCTGCGAAAACTGAATATGACCTCTCGTACAAGTTTGCAGCTTCATCCACACGGCCAAGTTTTACAAGGGCGCTGGCAAGTCCATCGGTAAAATCAAGTTCGTATCGAGGGTTTTCGTGGCGTGTTCTTAAAGACCGATTTACCACTGTCCGGAAGAGAGCGAGGCTCTCTTCAACTTGTCCTTGATGCAGAAGGTTCCATGCCATACGTCCTTGCAAATTTATCAAAGATTGAGATTCTGGACCCAAGGATCCTTCCAAAGCCTCTATGGCAGAACGACATGCAACTTGAGCCTCTTCATATTGCTTCTTTGAGGAATAGTTTCGGGCAATGTGTCCAATCGTTCGGGCCATGTACTTGATATTCGAAGGCTCAGTTTTTCCGAGAAGCTGCAAACCAAGACGTAGAAGTTTTTCGGACTCGATGTACTGATTTTTGTGAGACAATACTTGTCCCAGCTTGATTACACACTTCCATGTCCCTTGGTCCGTAGGTCCTAACATGCTCAGCCTTACCTGAAGTACATGACGGAGCAGTGCATCAGCTCTACCCCATTCACCTAGGCTCATGGCACTGGAAATCATCACATGCATAGCCTTCGTGGAAACCTCATGCCCAGGTTGAACTGACTGATGTATTACCGGATGCAATTTGTTCAGGGGACTCTGAGCGAGGAGTTCCTTGCTTTCATCTTGCAAACAATCCGCCACGTCCAGCCACGCATCAATTGTTCTCGGATTGGTTGGCCCATGGAGCTTTTGTGTTGTATTTGCAAAATGTTGAAAAAGTGTGTTCGCTTTGCTAGGTCTTCCTTGGTCGACATATGTTCTTGCCAGCTCCTTCGTCAAAGTCAGAATCTTACAATTCTCGGCTCCCGAAAGTGGTTTCAACTTGGAAAGCTTCGATTCAAGGTCCGCGGCTCGGATATTCAATGTCAACCAATAAGGTGATCCAGACCGCGATGCTTGTGAGTCGCATTTTTTGGCTGGGGCGGGAAAACATAGACCTCATTGAACGGACTTGGAGTCCATCCACAGAAAACCGAAGCTAAAGTCTGCAGCGGCAATTCTATCATCTCTTTCTTCCGGTGTGTGCGAGAAATACCGAGGCGGGGCGGGCATGAAGAGATCAAACCCTCCGATTCGTAGACAAGTGATTTGTTTTCTCCATTCCAAAGGTCGAGTAACTCTGTATTCGAGATACATTGCACTTCTTTGGGATCACCTTTCTCAAGTGATGGCGGTGATATTGAGTTGGAGCATTCCATTTCGACGGCGCTCAGCAAGCGTGATAGTTCAGGAGAACCGGGTATATCCACTTCGGCCCGGTCTCGATGACATAAAGGATAGCTTGATGGCTCAATGTCTATGTTAGTAGGGCCAACCTTTTGTGTTGAAAATTTGATGTGGCATTCGTCGGTTTGCAGTGGCATCGGTGACTGGGATCTACTCTCCACATCATACTCTTCGGTCGCTGGCAATCGCCGCTTGATTAACACGACAACTCTGGCGGGACAAGTGAACTTACACGCAAGGTTTGATGACCCACCATACACAGTTGGCGGGGAGGCACAGAGGCTCTTCTCCTTTCGGTATCTCCTCTTCCAGTTATCCAACTTCCCAGATCCGACCCGCCGGTCCTTAATATCGGAAATCTTCCGGTCTTGGTTACTGAGCAATTCTTTTAGAATTTCTCGTCTCTCTGAGCGGGAAACATTCTTGCGGAAGCCCCACTCCTCGACTTTGCGAGAGAATTGACGTTTCCTATCATGCTTTCAGTATTTAGAATATTGCAAGGGGTCAAACATTGAGCCTACGTTGGCGCAAATCCGTGCTCCGTGCGAAGAGTGTGCGCGAGATATGGAAACGGTTTGTTGTCATCGATATAAATTCGTTGAATGAGGGGCTTCATGTCTTCCCATTGGTGTCGAGACATCTCGCGCTTCCCTTTCGTTCCTTAGAACGTCTCAACGTGTTTACTTTGCTCGACTTGCGGGCACCGGCATGCTCTGCCTGATGATTATGTTCCAAGGAAGTGTTGAATTGTGGAGTCTGGCAAGGCTCCGGCTGGTGCGACATTCAGTCTAGATGAGACGTGGTCAGAATTGCTCCTATTGAAGCTCTTCACCAGCAAGTACTGAGTGGCCGGGAAATCAAAAGAGATGCAATCTGGGGAAGTCCAGGTCAGGAGTTGAAGGTGTCATATTGTACCCGCTGCACCACCACCCAGCGTTCCCAAGCTCTCGCCGTTGGAGTTGAGGCGGCTTTGGCGATTGGATGTGAACAAAAGTATGTTGACTTCCAATGCTGACGAGATGGGGGGTTGGCACCTATCAAAGCTGCAGTACAAATGTTCCTCGCATGACTTCCCCTATCAAAAACTTGCCCTCGATCCGTTCACCGACTGACCGACCGAAAGATATCTCAATGTTGATAGTCTTAAGTTTCAGCAAGTCTTCGTTAAAGGTGGAAATGTACGGTAAAACGATCTTCGATGCCATAATTGGGTTTGAAGCTTCACCGGGCTGCAGCCTGACTACATGAGTAACGGACGGCTAAATCCCGGCATCTTAAAAGGGGGTTTCTCGCTAATCCGAGGATGAAGTGAGGCTCACGAGTAATGATGCTTGTGAGATGAAAACGGGAGTAAGATAAAGTCTTTTGAAGATGAATGGCAAAAAGATTTATGGACAGGGTCTCTTGGAGCTGGTGGAGGATGGCGTGCCCCAGTAGATCTTGCGGGGCAAAAGTCTCGAGTGACCCCTGCCAAGAGCACTGTGCGGCAAGGATGAGGTTTTGACTTTCAATGATAGTAGTATAACGCGCAGCAGAGCACTCGACGGTGCTATTTGTTTGGTCAGGGTACTGTGAAAATCCGAAACAGATTTAAAAGATATCAAGGTGATTTTTGAAGACTTTTTCTCCAGGTAGTATAATTTCTCTTGCGTAACCTACATATATTAACGTCGTGAGGACCATGATTGATACTCTTGATTAAGATGTCCTCGAGCACTCGGCACGACACATCTCACCATTCAACAACACCGTATAAAATCCGGAGCGCCTTGCCCCCTTCCTCGACAATACTGGCCCCGGTTTGCGACGCGAAGATGAATTGCGCGCTGTTGCTTTCACGTGATTGCAACATCGCGCGGTCAAAAGGGCTTTTAGAGAACATCCGTAGCGTCTTGCGCGTAACTTGCGCTTCTCAATTCATCGAGAACTACTCGGTACAACCTGTCGCTTGTGCAGGACGGCCCAGTGGGTTGATAGAAACACTTTGAGAGGAGGGAGGAGAAGTTTTGAGACATGTGTTCACAGTGTTTTGCGGGGAAGTTGATTCGGATGAAAAATTGCCCGGGCATTCACTAAAAGCTGACCGAGTTTATATTGCTGTGCCCCTGATTTGCTCGCTAGAAAGCTAGCACAGTGCCGTCCCGTCAGGGATCAGCACCTCACCGATAAGAAACATCTTCACTGGTCGGATTCCTCTTTAAGTCTTCATAACATCTCGAAGGACAAGCATGCTACCACTTGTGTTCATATCAGCAGTAGTACTGGTCGCGGGGCTGTTCTACAAATACATCATTTATCCTGCTTGCATTTCCCCATTTTCCAAGGTACCCAGAGCACACTTCAGTGTCCCTTTCGCATCACTTTGGATCCGGAGGAAGCGCCCAGAGGGCACGAATGCTATTCAGACCCTTCTTGCGGCACATAAGAAGCATGGCCCAATCGTACGACTGAGTCCTGATGAGCTGAGTGTGGCCTCCCTGGATGGTCTTCGCCAGATATATACCGGCGGGTTCGAGAAGGCACAGGAGTACGAGGACGAGTTCATGAATTATGGGATACCCAACCTAGTATCGATGCTTCAAAGTAAACCCCACTCTGTCCAGAAACGCATGATTTCCAATGTCTATTCCAAATCGTCTATTCAGAACTCGGCGGATCTGCGAACGTTCTCGAAAGTTCTGCTTTTTGAGAGCTTGTTCCCGCCACTCCAGTCTGCAGCTCAAGAAGACGCAGCCGTTGATGTCTATGGGCTCAGTCAAGCCCTCGGCTCAGATTTCATTACGGCATTTCTCTTTGGCATTGACAATTGTTCGAACTTTATTCGGGACGTCCCTGCTCGAAGGAAATTCATGGCCAATTACTGGGCAAAAAAGGACGGCGTGGATGTGAAGAGAGCTACTGATGAGCTCGAGGCCCACGTTCTCTCCTTGTGCCGAGCTGCAGAGACTTTGTCAGGAAACTCACCAATATCTCGGCCAGTCGTGCATGCTCAACTCTCTTCTCAGCTTTTTAAATCATCGATTTCACCACAGCAAAAAGAGCTTGTCGTTGCATCAGAAATGCTTGATCACATCTTGGCCAGTATTGACACTACCACGGTAACAATGACCTACCTAAAATGGGAGCTGTCGCGGAATCCAGGCTTACAATCAGCGTTGAGGAAAGAATTACTAAATCTCTCTTCTCCGTTAGTTTATACTCCGAATGCTAGCCAGGGAGAACGAAGGTTGCCAGATCCAAAAGAGCTCGACTCGTTACCTCTTCTCAACGCGGTTCTGAAGGAAGTCTTGCGGGTCTATCCACCAACTCCTGCACTTCTCGACCGAGTCACGCCCCCAGGTGGGGCTGTCATCGAGGGGTATGCTATTCCAGGAGGTATCAGAGTCGGTACTTCAGCAAAGGTCATGCATCTGAATGAAAAAGTGTTCTCAGATGCGGGGTCATTCGTACCAGAGAGGTGGCTGAGTGATGGAAAAGAGGAGAGTGTGAATCGAATAAAGGAGATGAATAGATGGTTTTGGGCGTTTGGATGCGGGGGTCGAATGTGTATTGGAAACCATTTCGCCACTCACAGTAGGTTCCACCACCTTTGCCTCATGCCAGAAACGCAGCTTGGCGGACTTCCTGAGATAGAAAATCTCGTGCTAATAGTTGAAAACAGTGCTCAAATCTATTACAGCAGCAATCTATACAAATTATGAGACGACTATTGTCGATGATGAGGGAATCGAACAGGAAGATGCTTTCCTGGCAGGACCAGTGGGACGCAAATTAGTCCTAAAGTTCCGTTCTGTGAATGATGCCAATTAGCCTTGGCACCGTGGCTAGCACCTATTTCCGAAATGAATCATTACATGTAACAATATCACCTGTTGGCGTACAATTACCCCTCCGCTATATTCATGTATAAGTCTCTGCTAGGGAATAGAATACAGGCTTCTCTCCTCTTCGAAGTGCGGGAAATAATCTCTATTTGGTCTTCCCTGTTATCTCTCCAGTCCGATGTACCAGCACTTTTGGGACATCGGAGCGAGGTGAACGAAATCCCAACTCAGAGACTCACTCTCAAGCGTCAAGAAGTGTCTGAATGTATCAACAAATCTTGGAACATTGGAGCAATTTGCAACTAAACCTGGGCTCGAAGATTTACCCATGATTGTACAAGCGTGTCCCAGTTTCAGACGACTTGCACCATTCAAACGTGGCTCCTGCCTTCAAGCAGTTACGAATCAGTCTTCCTGCAATGACACTCCTTAGCAGAGCTCCTGTCATCAATGTCGATATGCTACAAATGAGCGAAACAAGTCCTCCCTCCCATGATTCAGCACTAGACCAGTCGGTCAAGCCTTCGATTATTTAAAGGGCCTGAAAAGTCTCTCATGTCCGATTTGACTTTTACATCTCTCAATATTTGCACTTCCCTCTTCGGACTACAGTACATCTCACAACAGAAAGGATAAACATGTCGACTAAGAAAGAACCTACCGGTAGCAAACTGCCCCTCTCCACATCCAAGGCACCAGGAGCTTCAGCTTCCTTGCGACCTGGTCCCTCCTCCTTGCGACCTGGTCCCTCTCCCTTGCGAAATGGTGTCTCTTCAAGCTACGTACGTGAGGCACCCCGTGCCACCAGCACTATATCAGGTTCGAAAATGACTGGAGAGTCGATCGTCCAAGAACCATCCATGCCGCCTCCAGACTATCGAACAGAAGTTCCCCAAAGTATGATTACAATAGGTTCCATGGTTAAAGGATCACAAATCAGTTCATCCATGAAGCCACAAACGTTTTCAGGGTCTAAATCACATCATCCACTCATCCACGCGGTCCCTCATTGTCCTGTCTGCCCCGGTTACCACGATGACGAAAGTTACCAAGAGCCATCGATCAGCAAGCAACCTATAACCAGCCAACGACCATCAACTTACCGTCCCTCTTCACGACCAACACAACAGTCAATGATGGCTAGTCGACTTGATGCTGCATCTGCGATGGCTAGCCGACTCGATACAACATCAAGTTTCAAGTCTGTGGCACCATTCACCGCAAAAAGCGTCCTCCAGACCCCGGACGATTTCAAATTCGCATCTCGCCAAACACAAAGAGGATCCCTAGCCCCCAGAGATCTCAAAGAGCAAGATGACTGGGCACAAAGAATGATCAAGCTTGTTGGCGTCTGCCCCGAAAACAATGACTGGGCCCGAAAGGAAAATCCGGGAGGATTTCAGTGTTTGGGCGGAGGTCACAGTATGACCGATGAGTTGCTGGCTGAGGGACTGGGTGGTATCTTGGCGCATCCTGCAAGGAAATGGGGAGAGAGTAAGGGACCCTACTATCCAGACCCCAATACTGGAAAGTACACGAGAGGAGTGTGAACAAACGCTCTTCCCCGAGCGTTGATGTTCCTACCAATGCGAGTGCATTCCGGTAAAGTGTTTTCCCAACTTGGAGATCACAACTAAGGGAACAGTGGGTTCATCCAGCTAGACTTCCCTGGCTGACAAGTTAAGGAAAATCAATATATTCGTTGCTTATTCTAACGTTGCTTATTCTAACCACGATCCTCTAAATGGTGCATACCCTGTGATCTAAACCATCCTGTTCCTGATGTTCAAAAGCGAGACTCTTTCGCCACTGGCATATACTGCCTCCCAGCATATGTCGTCCCCGACTCTTGCCCAACACCTCCATGATTGTACCCAGTTTCCATAGCGAAGCTCTCTCTGGCCCTCGACATCTTCTTCTTAGTTGAAGCTCTTCGTATCATCATGATGGTCACAATGAACGTCAAGAAATACGTTATGCCTTCGAGAATCGACATGTACCATGCTCCATTCTGCCATTCATCAGCACTTCCCAAAAGCTTTTGTCGGAATCAGAAGAAACTAACCTGCATCGTGCACAGCTTGCCAAAGTCCAGATAACTCTGAACCTGTGCCTGAATTTGATCCGCCTTCGATGAGCACGTATACCCCCAAAGCGAGCTCTCCGTCTGCGCCATTTTGAAAAGCCCGATTGCGACCGCCCATGCGACGACATGGGCCGCAGTCAAGGCATAAGTGACATATTTTGTACATGAGTAAGCCTTGTTCGCAGCGTCGACACCGCACATGTACGCGCAGACGTTGATAAGGTTCATGAAGAAAGTCAACACTGCGATTCCCAGCAGCATGAACGTGGGCCAAAGCGTGGCAGGCGTGACCCAAGGGTGTACATTTCCTGCGATGATCTTGTTCTTGGTGAGGAAGTATCGGGCGAGTGTGAAGGAGAGGATGCCAATCATGCCGGCGTTGATAACGAGTGAAAGGGATCGGGTAACAAATCGTAAGATCCGAATTCGCTTTTTATATGCCTGGCTTATGGATCAGTACCGCAATTATAACTGGAGCGGAAGAAAGAATTGAATTGCGATGGTGGTGGAGGTGGAGGAAGTATCTGACTGACCAAATCTTTCTTCTCGAAGCCTGAAAGGTATTCTGAGTCTCTTGACGAGAGAGATGATGCCGAGAAGGTGACGCTACCGCGTTTCTCGTCTTTGTAGCCCATCTTGCAGAACTCTCTTCACCAAACTTAAAATAGCCTAAAAATCAAATAGTACAACAATGCTCGAACTTGGAGGAAGTGAGGTCTTGGAGGAAGTGAGGTCTTGGAGGAAAAAGCGGGGAATGCTCGGACTGCGAGCCAGCACATATAAGAAGCAAACACCGTAACACAGCAGATTAGAATAACGCCTGTTTGGAGTCGCCTTGTGGTGGCTGCTTCAAGCAGCTGAGACAAGGCTGGTTGATGACAGCCTCTGAGACCCCGCCCCAACTCGAGGCTTAGCTTCTCAACTCCAGGACTGCCAAATCATTTGCGCTCAAAATAGTGTTTTCTGACCACGCTCTCGTCCATGGTCTCTCGCATAGGTCGAAGTTATTGGCCCTCGAACTCGGTGAGCTGTTGCGACGCAAGCCATCCACTGCATCCAGCCCAGCTGGCAGCAAACCGTAATGCATGTATCCTGCAAGTGCCGCAAGACACGGCAATTCCCTTCGCCACCGCAGAGACACATGCACCGATAAAGGAACTAGGAACGCTTGTTGTCCCTTGATTCGTCGATATTTGCGGACCGGCAGGTCTGTGGCTTGCGTAAAAAGAATCCAGACAATGAACATGGGGTCCTCGATTGGGGCACTTCCGCTTAGCAGCCACACGGCCGGAAGCCGTCAGAACGTCTAGTCCAAGCGAGAAACGCGGTGGGGTGACCCAAAAATCTGTGGCGCACCCCACGAAAAAGCCAAGCGCTAAATTTTTATCTATCCGTTCCGCTACCACCAGCTGCGCCCTCCACATTAAATATACGGAACATTAAAGCCCCGACTCTTCTAACGCATTTCAATTTATAGATCCTTTATAGAAGCAAAATAAAAATAGGCATAAGAGCTAACTAAAAGGCTGTTTATTGGTCAATAAGAGGACCTAAGTCTTATATTATTACGTGAAGATTTATTTAAGTTTGAAGTTGAGAGAAAATCGTAAGCGGGGGGCGCACCTGGTGGCAGCGGAACGGATAATTATAGTGCAAACACGCAACTCTCAACTCTCGGCTCTCGACCCTCGAAGTCAGCTTTTCACTTCTCGCTTTCTACTTTTCGATTTCTATCTTACGCCGCACGGGCTGCTAGAGTTCGTGAAAAAGAGCTCACCATGTCGATCCTCAGGACGCTTAGAGATTACCCTTTGACGGTAGCTCATCTTTGTGATTATCTCGATACTTTCAAAGACACAAAAGCTCTGGAATTTCTTAGTGTTTTTGGCGAGGCATTTGCGGGAGTGATCATCAAGCAAATGTACGAGGAAGTGGCTATAATGTAGACCGCGGACATGGCTATCACCATAGCGTATCAGTAACAGCAACCTGTATTTCAGGAAGGGATCTGTATAAGAATTAAAGAGAGAGAGAAAAGATTTTACGTAATAGTACAGGCTTAGAGAGAGGGAGGGGAAGGGCGTGGCAGTGGGCGTGTACGATTTTTGGTGGGGTGGTATTGAGGTCAGGTAGTCAGAGGAAAGAACCCTCCCCCCTTTTTAATCTATTTTTGAGTATTGATATTGACCTGCTTCATTGCTTCTGATACAATAAGAGCGAAAACGCTTTCAATTGCTAACAGCAGGGATATATAACTGAAAAATCAAACACCGGAACCAAACTTCTGGTATGTAAACTTAGTTGGGTTGGTGAGGTAGTCGTTCCAAGCGGTGCACCCATCTTCAATACTCTTGCCCACCTCCGCGTCAAGCTTGATATCGTCCTTTCGTATGTAAAGCGAGGTAGATAGTCCTTCACTGACGTGCCACCCGATGTGGCAATGAAGTAACCAAATACCGGGATTGTCTGTATAGAATGCGAGAATGGCGTAGCCTCCACCTCGTAGCATGAAGGTGTCACGACGCATCGGATTGTTGACTTGTAATTTGCTGAGGTCTTCGTCCCATTGCCCCTCCCCGGAGGCGAGAATTCGCATGTCGTTGCCGTGCATATGAATGCTATCCCCAGTTAGTACAAAATGGAACTTCGATTATGGAGAGGTAAGACATACGGGTGTGGCTCATAGAAATTGTTCTGGATGTACCAAAATGCCCAGGTATCTTTCTCATCAACTCCAATCATATTATCTTCCGGTGAGATTGTGGTATTTCCCTGCACGAGTCTTTGCAGGATAGGATGTTGCAAATCCACATTCTGGGTAGTTTCTCCTATTGACCAGCGGAATACGCGACCCTCGTTCGCTGAGGTGATTTTGAATGGAGAGGCCACGGGAAGATGCCTGGGGTCGAAGTTGGAGACATTAACCGATTTTCCAACAAATGGGATGGTCTTTTCGGCGGGTTCGTCGAGGCAATCGTCGTGAACTGGAGCTGCGGCGGTGGTTGGAAGTGCTGGCGCCGCACCTTTGTACGAAATGATGGCATTTTGGGTTCCCTTTCCATTGTAATTGTTGCTGGCACAATTCATGGGAAGAGCTCGTAGCCAGTAATTCCCCACTGTGCCATTTGCAGTCATGATGGCATCAAATCTTTGGCCTTTTAGATTGTCAGAGACGTGGGCGACCGCGATGAGGGGAGGATGGCGACTTACCTATCGCTAGACTGACATATTGTGTGGTGTAAGGTTTGACAGGGGTTAGATCAATGGCAACGACCTCCATCATATGTCCATCTGAGTGAATCAGCGAAAGCTGCAAGAAGTATAGGCATCATCCTACTTACCAATCCCAACTTTGTAGAAGTCATCAACTCCCGTGTTTATAAAACGCATCAGGTACCTCTTTCCTAGCTCGACCGTCATCTGGAAACGCTTTCCGCCACCCTGCGCATTGACGTTCGTTCCATTGAAGAGGATTTTGTCGGGCACATCCGTCAAAGGTCCTTGGGTGGAGATGATAACATCTAATGCCCCGGCCCCGCTGCCACCTGAAGTGCGGTAACTGTAAAGAAGTCAGTCAGGTCCAGTCTGGATTAAAACCACCGCCTTACATCTCCGAGATTGTGATCGGGCCCATATCAACGTCGTACCCAGCCGAGGTTGGACCGTGAATAACTATTGCTCCGAAAACGCCATCGCCATACTGTGTGGAGGCATGACTGTGCCACCAGGATGTTCCATATGATGTTGCTTGCCAAACATACACTTTTGACCCTCCTGGAGGAAGAGGGCATTCAGTCAGCCCATTGACACCGTCTTCAGAGTTACTGCCTTGTTGACGAATACCATGCCAATGGATACTCGTTCTAGAAGAACACAATCAGCGTTGTTGATGAATCGGACTGGAGATACTTGCCCATTGTCTTCAAGCTGATTGTTAATTGTGACTTTGATCAAATCACCCCAGTCTATTCAACGATCAGATTCATGCAGGGTGAGAACGTAGCATCCCTACTTATTAGCTTCAACGGTGGGCCCAGGGAATTGGTTGTTGACAAGAAGGCATGATTTGGGGATACCATCGGGGGCGCAAGTGGTGTTAGTCAGAGTGAAAGTGTACTGCGAAATGAATCAGCGAGTTTGTGGGGCATTGTTCGAAAGCTCTCTTGTACCTCGACGGTTCGGCCCGTGGTGGGCCACGTGTTCTCGGAATCAGTCTCAATACTGAAATTTCCCCAACATCCATTCGGTGATCCCCCACAGATACCGCCACTACCCTGCGGAGGAATTTGTGATGCGTTTGAGCCAGTTGGGAGAGGAGAAGGCGCTGCATTTATTGCAGGAACAGAAGGAACAGAAGACAACGCTAACCAAGGTGAGGTTGAAACCCCAGTGGAAAAGCGGATAGTCGATGTGTGTGCAGTAGAAATTTTGCGAAGTGTTGATACGCCCCGAGCAGAAGACACCGCCAGCGCCGAAGTAGATATCTGGGCACACGAGGAGATGCGGGTCGAGGTGGTTGTTGCTATGGAGATGGGAGGCATTCGACTAGGTGCTAGTCCAGACGTAGTATGATGGGTATTCGATAAGTTTGAAATAGGAAGGTTAAGTGAAGAAGGATGAGCCGTCGAGATTCTCCGTGCAGGGATAATAAAAGTTGCAGTGAAAGCATTATCTAATTTTGAATTTGTAAAGGTTGAAAGAGCGAATGGAAGGCCGCAAAGAGCAGAGAGAACGAGGAATTTCATATCTGTGTGGTGGAAAGACTCGCAAAGGCAGGCCCTGCCTACTTGCAATTAACGAACTGAACCACCACCAGCAAAAGAAAGAAAAGCCGCGGAATAGAAGGACGATTGAAGACATGGCTTGACAGAAACTCTGTTTGGAACTTCAAGGGTATTTGAATAAGTAGAAGAAGCTCCTCCAACATGATGTAACAGCCCAAAGATTGTACTCGGTCAAGTGTGACGGCTACAGATGCGGCATTCTCACTCTTGGGTTCGCTTCCGGATATGAAGCAAGCGAGGTCGGCTTCATCCAACATCGAATGAACAGCGGTCAATGCCTTGGATTCGGAGAAGGTTTCGAAGATAGAAGTCTTTGAAGGTCGACATGATCATTCGAAGCACCGATTGTCCACCTCGGCCGGAAACTGCTGCAAATCCGGGAAGCAAAACGCTCGCCTTTTACGCATCAAGCATGACATTCCAGGAAAGATGCGAGATTTCTGGGTATTATGATGACTTCGTGACACGAATGATACGAAGATAATCGTTGGCACAGCCAGTGCGTGATCTATCGAGGGATAACTGATTCCACTCTGGAAACAAAGGGGCTCTAGGCAAGTGGCTTAGGCTAGAATTCCCGTCATTTGTGTTGCTAAGGGCTACGTCGATAGTGTCGCTTCATCTGAATTATTTGTGCGCTAGACTGGGAGTGATGTGAAACGGCGAAGCGAGACAACTTTGACTTGCGAGATGTGCTTAAAATAATTTAGCCCTGGACTTCTCCGATCAGTACCCCGAGCTAGAGCAACTCAAATCGCCAAGAGAGCTCCTGGGGTCATGCTCTGCACTGGCGGATGAACCAGATCTTGAATGCTGCCGCACAACTCAGGCACGCAGACAAGTTTCAAGCACCAGGCAAGCTAAGCATTGGCGGACATCTTGAAGTCTCGTGCACCACTTGGCCTACTGTGGAAATCAAGATGCAAGTTCGGCTTCAAGAGCTCCCTATTCTTCAGGAAAACAAAACCTTTGTCTCACTGACGATGAAACCAAGAGTTCCATTGATAACTTACTCTGAAATCTGCTTCAAATTGAGGATGCGGGCGCCTGTTGTCATAGACGCAACCAAACACACGAAAATTGAGAAGGACTTTGAGGCTAAGAAATATCCAAACTTTGGAGACCACCAACGTAGTGTAGACCTCTCATTCTCCCAGGAAAAAGAGCGCGCAAAAGCATCAGATTTCCTATCACATCTCGAAATGCTTTGTCTAGGCGGGTCGGGTCCCAAGCAGATTGATTCTGGCACCCATATTACACTTGGTTCATTCCTATTCTGCCAATGTTGGCTCCAGCTCGGGGCTCCAGCTAGCCGTCGAGGACGCGGAACAATCAACATCGAATTCAAAAGGCTCCAGTGCGTGCAGTAAAACTTCGCACTGGCTCCACGTTAGATCACACTTCGAACTTCAACCTCCCCCTGGGCTGAGCGCACATGATCAATAGGACAGCATCGAGAAAGCTTGAATCTCGAAGGACAATGAAACTTGTGGGAAGATTAATTATGTATGAAATTGAGAGATCTTCCTTCGTATTTGTTGTGCTGTCGGACGGTACAAGATCAAAACCGGCACTGGTCAGATAACCGTAAGCTACGAAAATTTTGAGACTGAGGCCAAAGAAATGAGCCCATTCAGTATAGACATGATCATCTCTCACAGCGCTGGCATCTGCTGGCTTCCAGGCGGATCGACATGTTGAAAACTGATTGACTCCGCATTGAACCATTCTGGCATAACCATGTTCTGTTATTCCGCTTCCACGACTGTCTGGCACCGCCATCGTTGTTTCCAAGGGATATCTGTGCGTCAGATGACCTCGGACGAAAGCTGTCCAGATTGCTGGAATGTTGCTCCACACTGTGGCTAGTTGGAAAATTCCACGGAGGGACACCCAGAGGAGGCAACATTCGACGCGGGGCCTGAAAGAAAAGAACGTGAATCTGGATCTTGTTGTAGATAAGAAGTGAAGACGTGAAGTGTTTTGGGATCAGCGCAAATCTCATTGTCTGCTCCACAAATGTGGGCCTAAACCTAATGAGGATTAGTGGATTTTTTCTAATCACGTCAGCGTGACAAGTCAACAACAACAGAACATTAACAACGTGACAATGACAAGCGACAAGGAAATCAACATCATCGAATTCCGTCTGGACTGCGGTGCTGCGGTGCTGTGGTGCCGCGAGAGGTTTGCTAACAGGAAGTCGCCTAGAAGCCTCGCAATTCGCAAGCCAAGTCCTGCCCATGAAGTGTTCCAGTTTGCGATTTGCCAAGTTGCGCTGAAACGGTTGGGCTAGCTGCCAACTTGTCCTTGGCATCACCCAGAGAATACGAACAGAAATGCGAGAATTCGAGACATCCGAGAATCAATGTCGTTGTAACATGAAGTTCTCACCGATCTTCTGTTCACCAGTGTAACAGAGAAGAAGGTAAGTCCAACCAAAATGTGTCGCAAAAGGTGTCACCAAGCTCGCAGGCTCTTGATATCCCTGGTCTAGTACTTCTCACTGCATGTTATTTTGAGTTTAATCGATCCGTCTGTGTTTAATACTGATCTTCTCTCATCTTGCTGCCAAGTGGCTCATTTATATCCAACAAAAGCGCGTTCTCGTCATCGTTCTGCGGATACGTAATGATGTTATCAATTCTGGTCATCTCGCCAATTTTGTGCCTTTTCTCATGCGTACAAAGCCTTGGAATTCCGAGAGCTACTAGCTCGACTAAGCTCTGGGGAACATACAATGATTCTCTCATCCAAGGGATTACACTTGATGAAATCAAGCAAAGCGGAGTGGCAACTACTTACGACTATTTGATTGTTGGGGGAGGCCCTGGGGGTCTTACCCTTGCCATGCGTCTTACAGAGGATCCAAACATTCGCGTTGCGGTAGTAGAGAAAGGAACTCTTTCCACATCGTACCTCACATACCAACTTGGGAACCTCGCGACCTCAACCTTTGTCGATCCAACGAACCCGGCTTTGCTTCCAAGCATCGACTACCTTGACATCACAACGCCTATCAAGGCGAATGGTGAAAGCCAGCATTATCCACAAGGCAAAATGCTCGGAGGTTCAAGTGCACGTGGGTTTGCTGCGTATGTAATCTTCCTCTTCTCGGTTAATCAAAAAGGCTGATCTTTCCGTCCTCAAGGTACACTCGAGGTACCAAGGGTACCTACCAAAAATGGGCCGACACTGTTGGAGACCAGGCATATGCTTGGGATAACTTCCTGCCTTATCTTCAGAAATCTGTCAAGTTCACACCTCCTAATGTTACGTCGAGGGGCGCCAATACCAGCGATATTCAGTTTGATCTCAATGCCTATCAACCAACTGGTGGCCCGTTACAGGTCTCTTTCGCCAACTTCGCTTCCCCATTATCGACATGGATGAAGCTTGCGTGGCAGGCCCTCGGAGTCAAGCCAGCCAACGGCTTCTCAAGCGGTACACTCAGCGGGGTCCAATATGTGACTTTAAATGTCAACCCTACAGACATGCACAGATCCGATGCCGCCTCATCTATGTTTGCAGCCGCCCGGAATCGAACCAACCTCGTTATATTCGCGAATACTCAAGCATTGCAGATCATGTTTAATGATAACAAGGCGGCCACTGGCATCATGGCGAATGATCTCAACAACAAGACCTTTCCTTTGATGGCCGCTCGTGAAGTTGTTTCATGTGCAGGCGTGTTCCGATCACCGCAGCTGCTTATGGTTTCTGGGGTTGGTCCCGCAAACCTTCTGCAGAACTGGAGCATACTAGTTGTCGCCGATCGCCCTGGTGTGGGGCAAAACCTTCAAGATCAGTCCTTCGTCGGCATCACTTACGAGGTCAACTTCAATACTACGAGCCAAATCTTCAATTCCCAATTTTCCGATTTCGTGAACAACACTTTGTTCCCTCAGGGCCAAGGTGTTCTCACAGATGCCCTCGATCTCGCCGTTTTTGAAAATGTTCCTCCTGAACTGAACAACACCCTTTCCGCGAGTACCCGCCAAGCTCTAGCTGAGCTGCCAGCAGACTGGCCGGTCTACCAATACCTCCCTGTTAACAGCGATCTGCTCATTTTCCGTACCATCGAATCAAAACCACCGACAAACGACACTCTTTCTCCCAACTACGGTTCATTGGCGTGTTCTATTTCTGCTCCCTTTTCTCGCGGCACCGTTGGACTCCGCTCCTCAAGCAATATGGATCCGCCTGTTGTGGATATCGGCTATCTCAATGACCCACGAGACATCGAGCTTCTTACAGTAGCCTTCAAACGCGGCCGTCAAAGCTGGACAACGCCAGCGATGAAACCAGCCTTGATTGGGAAAGAGTATTGGCCTGGATATGATTTGGTTCCAGATGACGATGACCAGAAGATTCGACAACATGTTATCGACCAAGTCATGCCGATTTGGGAAGCAAGCGCCACTTGCGCGATGGGGAGGAGCAATGATACGCGTGCTGTTGTCGATTCGAAAGCTCGTGTGATCGGTGTCTCGAATTTGAGGGTCGTAGATGCAAGTGCTCTCCCTTTTTCACCGCCGGGACATCCTGCGTCCAGTGTGTTTGGGCTTGCTGAGATGGTTGCGGATATGATGAAGCAGGAGTTTGCTGCTGGCAAGTGAGCGTTGCTTCGAAATGCCAGGCGTTAAATCGGCTGTGGGGAATTTACTCTGATGTTATATTTGTACTTCCTGTCGGCTGGACCTGTTGTCAGTTGTTTAAATTCTTCGTCCAAGCTTCTCAGCCGGTCTTGCGTTCATGAACTTATTGTACATAATTATACCTCTGAGTTTCGATCCATTTCAAATTACTACTTACCTCACCATCCAAGTTCAAAGCACTGCAAGGGAGGAAACCCGTCAAGTGCGCAGAGAACGCGAGCCATATCGGGATGAATTGCGGCAAGAATTGAAGAAAATGCAATTGCTAGAGATTTGACATAATATAATCGAGACAATCAAACCATCTTGACTAAGTAACAACTTGGAACATCGCAGCAGATTCTCCTATCCAATAGGTCTGCAGTGGTTGTCAGACACTATCCCGAGGGTTATTTCTCAGTTAGCCTTTCCTATTTTAATCTTTGTTTTTGCACTTGCGTACCCCACGGAGGCAACATGTGGGTATTTATCGCAGTCTTGCGAATGGGGTTGAAAAGTTGTTACAATCATCTTACAATTAATGTCAATCAGTCCATCCAAGCACCTCAGATAATACGGCTCCGTTCTCAGACGGTAAGACTCCACGATAGTCAGGCGGGCAAGTCCTTCAAGTATCAAGGCTTTCAAAGAGAAGGAACAATCACAATCTGGATTTTCGAGGAACATATTTTTTCATACAAGGATGTTTTCACACCCCAGACATAAAGCACAAAGCTCCAAACCAACTCCGACCGCCAAAGCATATGATTCTACAGTACTCCAATCTACACAGGTAGAACCAAGATGGGTCTGCGCTCATCTACGGAGCCATAATCCGGTACCCAAGATGCGAAAGAGCAATTGGAATCCCACACGAAAACTTCAAAACCCTATTTAATCCCAATCCAATTTCCTGACTCCGGTAAATGCAGGCACTAAAACGAATATACCCTTGGCGAAAACGCTCGACTTGAGGCTGAATCCCCCACCGACCCACCCCTCCCCCTCCTCAAGCTCCCCCATCCACGAAACCTTAATAAGCATTCCTCATCCAATCCTCCCGTTCCCCCCTCTTCGCCCCATTATACGCAACCGTTCCCTGCCCACCACCCACCTCCTCGCCCTCCCTCTCCAGTCTCTTCTTATGGCGTACGCACTTGTAGCACAAGAAGCCCATGAAGCAACCGGTTATGAGGAGGAAGGCGAGCCCGAACACGATGCCGATTATGGCGGGGACGGGGAGGTGGTAGCAGATCTGCTCGTTGGTGGAGGTGTCGGTCTTGCAGGAGCGCTTGAGGAGATTGTGGACTTGTTGTTGGGCTGAAGTTATAGAAGCCATGTCGACGAGAGAAGATGAAGAAGGGAATAGAGAGAAATTTATATAAAGCGTGTAGGTGAGTAATTGAATTGATGGGATTTTGGACCGAGTTTTGGTAGGGCGAGGAAGTACGTTTTGTGTGAATATGGCAGAATATATCTTACCAACGAATGGAAAAGAGGAAGTCCCACTTACTTAAATGGAGCGTCGGATCCTATCGTAGCACTGAATATGATTCCAATGCTGGAAAAGGGCACCCTGTAAGTGATTGGCATACCTGAGCGCGAGGCGGGATCCAGGCTCTGGGTTCCTGGCGCTTAGCTTGTGTTCAGTGCATTTCAGTGGTGCGCCAAGAACTCCATCTCTGGAGACACGGTTACGCGAGATGGAAAGCGCGTAGATCAGCGAAAATAGAACTGAATAGGGCAACGAGGTTTGGTACTTAGAGAACGTGTTTGGAAGAGGACGTTCTTTTGCGGAGGTGAATCTCCAGGAGACCGGGGATGAGTATGGAGACGCTTCTTCTCGATAAAACACAGTAGGATAGACAGAAAGAAACTGGAGATCTAGCGGGAGCACCCCCGCTTATTAAATTGGCACAAAGACATCTGGACTAGATTTGAAAGTTTCCTCGCTTGAGCAGGTCAGGGTGTGGAAAAGAAGCACCGATTAGCAAGCGCGTTACGGTCCTGAGATGACCGCTTCCATTTCAAAATACACGCATTACCTTCCACCCCTTGTTCGTAAACCAAAATATGGACATCGAATCGTATGAACGGACCAAACAGATCGGGACTCCCACGCATGCATATAACCACCATGCTCCATGCTCCATCCCTTTCGTTTTCCTACTTTAATGGGTATCATTCGCTCGCCTTTACTGTGCCTTCTTCGCCTCTTCCTCTTCATTCCATGGGTGCTTGATGGTCAAGCACCAGATATCGAGATAATCGCAAATCGTAACGATGACATCAACCTGGACTACCGTTAGCAGAATATAGAGCTGAGAGGTTGCTGAGACTTACCACAAAGCTTCCATAAACTCCGATAGCCATGCCTAACATGCAGAAGGCATATGCAACTTGATATCCGCCATCTCCAAGCGCACTCGGCCATCCAAGCCCAAGGTGTCGCTGCAAAAATGGTCCTAAAGAATCGAATACCCCATACGCAATTGGCAGGACGAGGACGTTGTAGTATGGGAAGTCGAGCTTGACGAGATGTGCTGTGATGATTTGCCCAACCGAATATGCATTTACTAAGCCTGCAAAGAAGACAAAGGGAACGAGATGGTTGTGGAGGATTTCGGGGTTGAGGGAGAGGTATACGGGGATAAGGGTCCAGGTCACGAAGAAGGGGACGAGGCCGAGGAGAGCACCGCGAGACCTGTCACCACGGGCTCGGCGGACTTTGATGACATTTTGAGCACTTTTCTTCGATTAGCTCATGCGGACCTACAAGTGTGTCAAACTCACGATTGGATGGTATTCAACACCAGAACAAATCCACCCTGCACCATATACCACTCATTGAATGGAAGGTTGTATATATATTCGGGAATGAATGCGTATTTCGGAATGCCCACGGTTGGGAACATGGCTTGCTGCCAAAAGCTGGCCCCTCCCTTGATAGCTGTGAATGCGTAGACGGCAACCAGGATTAGAATTCCTTCGACGGGCCCAGAAATCAAGCCGAGAGTGAGAGTCTTGGTGTGGTACTCGTCCCAGGTTTGAACATAGAAGGTTAGGAGGGATGCGAATAAAGTCATGACTGTCTTCCAGCCCATTCCCAGATTCTGCGAGGCAGCAAATATCAGAACTTCGAGGGATGTGTTGACAGCATCAACGCCGTGATCGAAAAGCTCTCCGAGCGGTCCGCTCTGATGGGTTCGTCGTCTACCATCACCATGTTAACCTCTGCAGACTCTAAAACCAGCTTCCGATCGACTTACGCTTGCGAGCCATCAACGGCATCAAACGTCTGATACAAAAACAATCCCACAGCCCAACTGGCATACACCCAGGGCGGGCAATCCTGATCCAGCGTCGGATTATACCACAGTAGCGTCAATAGATTGACCACCACGAAGCTGAATCCACTCAACGTGATCAGATTCGGCGCCATCGACATGGGGAAGCATTTTATCACTATATTTGTGTAAAATGGCTTCATCACGTATCGCGACAGGAGCGAGTGGTCGACGCCGGAGTATTTATACTGCTTCAGGTTCGGAAGCTTTTCTTGTCGCACGTACACCATGATTGCGGTTTGTCTTTCGAACAGGACAGAGGATTCGGCGAGAGGGAGATGCTCGGGGTGGTGTGGTCGGGTGTGATGTCCTGGCCGTGGAATTCCTCCTGTCGCGAAATGTTCGAATCCCTGGAGGACGCGCCGCCAAGACACCCACGTCATTTCCCCTTTTTGGCCCCCAGCTCGTGAAAAAGGGGCTGAATCGAGGATTTAAACCTCACATGTCTCACACATCTTTCTATGGTTCTACCCGGCTTGATACACTGCGATTGCGATCCTTCATTTAAGACAAGGCAACATAAGATATGGAGCAGCATACTCTACCATCATGAGCCCAAGTTGGGCTTCTCTGGCTTGTGACGACGCACATTGGAGACCCCCATTGACAGGCTCGCATGTCGACGATGAGATTCATGCTTTTTCATGGAAGAAATCCTCTGATGCCCCTCGTACACAAATTGCTGGTCTCACACAATTTTCTGCAGCATTTGGCGATCGGCATTGTTCTTTCCTGGTTGGCGACGCATGAGTTGGGGTTGATGGTTCTCTCCTTTGCTTGCGACATGGCTTTCAAGCTTGCGCTCTTTCGTTCCTTCCACTTTAAATTCAAGCATTTATATCTCTCGCAGGGCTATTCGTTCGCTCTTCAACATCATCAACATCGATATCTCAATCACCCAACCCGTTTCGGGGCATTCGTTTCAATATCAACGTTTCAATCACCCAGCTCTCTTGGGATATCCGCTTCCCAATTTTGTCATTTCGATTAACCAGCTTGCCTAGGACATTCGTTACCAATACCATCATTCAATATGGCTTCATCAAATAATTCCACGTCCGATTCCAAGAATCACCGCGCCAACTTCAGCCGCGTTCCTAAAATCGACATTCCCAAGATCATCGCTCTCACCAAGACTAAACTCCACAGGGTCGGTATTAGGGAACACTGCCGCAAACTGAAGGAAGCCCAATTCCGGGAGCACGTCAACCAATGGTGGAAGAACAGCCTCTTTGGTGGACCCAAAGATCCGAAGGGGAAAAAGAAGGACTTTACCGGCAAGACCGTTGTCATGATCGGCGCAACGTCAGACATCTGTGCGGAAGCAGCCATCAAGATTGCTCGTCTCAACGCAGCAAAACTTATCATTGGAGCTCGAAATATTCGGAAAGCCCATGAGGTGAGAGAATGAATCGAACGGGAGGCGAATAGGGAAGAGGTGGACTTCTGCACAATCTTGGAACTGGGGGTGGCCAGCTACCCATCCATCGAGAACTTCGTCAACTACGTGCAAGAATATCGCGAAACCCTTGGCATCCATGCCGTCGTTCTCAATATTAATCATCACACAGAGGATCTTGCAGACGACCATGGCCAAGTTTTTCGAAGCCGCCATGGAACGGAACTGCATTTGCAGATCAACGTTATATCAACGGCGTATCTGGCTATCTTTCTCCTTGCCTTACTTCTCGAGACCTCCTTGAAGGAAGACTCCACTACTCACCTTGAGTTCGTCGGATGTGAGCGCTACATCGTGCATCAGCGTTTTGAGTTTCTTCTCAACGGCCCAGAACATTCAATCCTGCAATACTTAAACAAAGACCCCGACGAAGCAATACAGTATCCGGCGACCAAGATTCTGCAGATGGGGATAATGTACGTACACTCCATTGAATATTCAGTTCTCGTCCTTTTCAAGTGTTCCACGAATGGTGGTACATTTGACTTAAAGCGTTTGAATGTCCCACGACTACTTGGCACATTGGCTGACTTAAATAAATCGGGCTAGGTTTCAACTCGCCAAACGCGTAAATCCCGCGAATGTTATCATATTTTCTGCCGAGCCAGGCCCTTGCGAAAAGCCCCCTTGGAAAGATCCTGACTCGGACCATTCCGGTGTCGACAAATTCTGCAAGCGAGCGTTTGCTAGGACAGCGGAGCAAGGGAGTCGAATAATAGTCAGTGGTTTGCTACAAGAACCGAAAGCGAATAGTTTGTTCAGAGCACCATTGCATGGGCGAGTCTACAAAGACGACGACGCCATGACGTAAGTCGGTCGTTCCACCCCGTCCAGTAAATCCAGCTGCCAATATTTCTCGTCCATCTGGTTCATTGCTCGTTTTGATCGGATCACAGACCTTTGCAATTCTACTTTAGATGGGGTCCAATATTGTCCGACAACGTCTTCCTCGAACTGATAGCGCGTTTTCGTAAGATGAAGAATTGGCAGGCGATAAAGTGCATCGTACCAGCGGGACAAAGTCGAATCACCGCGGATAGAATCCAGATGCTCCGAGTATGGTTCCCTCAGGTCCAACAGGGTTGTCGTTTCCCCAGAAACTTCCCGTTGTCCGACGACTATGATAGGACATTTGTAAAGAACCCATACCCCGAGCTCCCCTGTCCGCCTCAATCAAGAAATCTGTTGCTAATTGTTCTAGTGGGGTGATACATTGAGAGGCACTCTACCTGAGGGAGATGGCAAGTACGACAATTTTTCTTGGGAAGACAAACCCCACCCCCAACCTCGACCAGTCTCACTCGCAAGGCTGAGACGGGACAGAGAGGAGGTGAAGGAAGTCGTGGATGTAAGGGTTGGTACGTGGTTGGACGGGGTTCCGGTGCCTGAGGAGATAAGAGAGGAGACCGTTGAGGCGCCCGCTGATGATAATGCGGATGAGGAGACGGCCTCTGAGACCCGGAGGAGGCTTAAGGGTAAGCAAAAGATGCACAGCATCATTGATCCTCCGTAACCCAGCGATGGTTACTTTGCTCCAAGGTAGAAGCGTGACCTTGGACCGCTCAGCGATATATATATTTTTTCACTAGCCTTAGGATAGCTTTCCAAGTGGTACCTTACGTTGTTCTCGTCATCCTTGGTATTTTTAAAGGTGGCGGGAACTTGCTCAGGAAGTAAAAGCCGTTCGCTCTTGGCAGTGAAACCCTCCAAGTATACTTCTCTCTGCGCAATAGCTCCCCTGACCCTTCAAGCTCCAAGCAATTGACTCTCTCCGAACTTTTCAGTGGGTCAAAGCGCGTCTCAGCCAACAGTTGATGGGCTCAAGTATTGGGGGCGAAGACAACCCATTCGAGAGTAATGACCTGAAAGCAGCGAGGAAGATCGGACGCCAACAAGGCCCCGAGTGGGTGAGCTGTGTTGTAGAGATCAAGTCTAGGAAGAACATGCTGTGCTGAAAGCCAGTCGGGAGGTTTCTATCCCCTCAAGTCATCTTACGGGATGCAATGTATGCAGGTGAGAGAGGTGTGGAAATCGTGAACCACAAACTACAAGCCATGTGGACGCCTTCCGGACTCCCGAGACTGTGGATGTGGCGAGTGGCTGACGCTGGACTGAACTGTGCAATTGCCATGCGCTGGTGTGGTATCAGCCGCAGAATCTGGAATCACACTGGGTGAGGATTGCCCGTTGGACTTTCTAACAGAGATACTTCTATGGACAGCATGCGATTTTGAGGTCGGCGTGGTCCTTGCTACATGGCACTGTGAGTGAAGCCTGGTTATTTTAAGTCTTGGAGTTCGGAAGTGTGGGATGGTTGAGCATCATGGAATTCTTGGAGAGGAGAGACGGCGAAGATCCAGACGGTGCGAGGAAACGGAGGGTCGACGGTTGGCGCCACCAGTTCATGCGCATTGTGTTGTGGAGCGTGGGGAGTGAGGGTTTGTGGTGATCTCGAAGGGGGATCAAACTTAAACTTTCGCACGGACGGGCGTGGGGTGATCTTGATTTCTGCGGGGTCTGGAACATGGGGTGACCGAAATCGAGATTTGGCAGTTGCCTGGGAATGTCCTGCATGCAGCATGGTGTTGTTGTGCTGCTGGGGAAAAGGGGGTGGTAGCGGAGCCAGTGGAATAGCAAGCACTTGAGTCGAATTGAGTCCATTGATCTTTGCTTCCTGATCCTGAACAAATGCTTTGAAATTTTAAATCCAAGTGCCATGAATCTTGGATAAAGAAAAGAAGAAGAAGAAGAAGAAGAAGTGAAGTAAACGCCATCACCCATCCATGTAAAATCAAAAAGCCAAACACCCGCATGCCCAAACCAAACCGCCCATCCAAATTTTCCTTCCTTTCCTTTCTCGGCCTTCCCAAAAACACCAGTGGTAGCCGCGTAGCCACCGATACATGATTCGTTAACCCGTAAGAAGAGAGATTCATTACAACAGTTCGTCGCTCCCGCTCGCAACGCTCTTTTCGATGGCATCGATAATCTCCCTCTCTTCAAAGACCGGCCCTTGCCCATCGCACTTGGCGACCTTCTTCAACCGCTCGCTGACGTCCCCGACGTCCACCAAGCCGCGGACGTACAGCGGGTGCTTGATAATGTAGTCCCACGTCGCACCGGCAGCCAGCAGCCGCTCCCCGGTATCAGAGGTCACGATCCTGTGGCTCGGCGTCTTGTTGTCGTGCGCGCGCAGCACCTCCGTGTAGAAGTCCGTCGGCGAGTAGCGCATCGGCCCGGCATTGGGCAATGGCTCTGAACCTCCCCGATGCGGGTGTGCCGCCGTGGCCTTCAGGATCTCGTTCTCGGTGGCTGCTTTTTGTAGTTGGAGCTTGAGACGCTCGTTCTCTTCGGCCACGTTGACGGAGTCTTGTTGTAGGGCCGCGAGCTTGGCCTCGAGGTCTTTGACGTGTCGTTCTTTGCGTTCGCGGAAGGCTCGTTGTCTGCGAATTGAGTTAGCAATTGGAGATAGAAAAGAGAAAGGTTGTAAAGCAGAGATTGCGGGCTACTTACGCTGCGCGGTTCTGAGCCTTTCGCCGGGATTGTGCGGGTGTCATGTCGTCGTCGTCACTGTTGCTCCCCCTCCGATTGGAATCATCGTTCTGGTCCCCATTGTTCATCTCATAGTTGTGATTCGACGTGCTGATCGAGTCTTTGTGCTGCGAGAGCGGGCTCGGCGGCTTGACTTGAATGCCATTGCTGGCGGGGTTGAAGTGGGGGTTGAATGCATCGAAGTTCTGGAACTCGAACGCATCCTGCTTGGGGGTCAGGAAGGACTGTGAGTAGGGTTGCAACGTATGAAACTGGTCACGAACAGGTGGAGAGTTGCTGAATTCATCTGAGTTCGAAGATCCGGTGTGGGCGGGCGTCGGCGGGAGGCCCAGGAACTGGTAAGGCTGCTGTGCGGCTGCGGTGAAGTAGGGATAGTCCATTGTATATACGGACGTTGGAGCGGTGATCAGCAGAGGAGGGAGGAGAGGGAAATGCGGTATTAGTGAGAGATTGGAGATCGATGCTGGCGGCTTATAAAGCGCGGGTTTTGGCAGAAGACAGACCGGTTTTGAGGATTGTCGTCGAAAGTTTATAGTTGGTCCTCCCGGAGTGAGTCGTGACAGGGGCGGGCACTAGCCTCGACGGTCCTTGTCGATAAGCACCACCGGCCTGCGACTCCAGGATGCAGCCAAAATCGTGGTCTGAGCTATCCCAGGGAGAGACATTGTTGACTCCCCGGCTTCAGAGGCAGCAGGCTTCACTCTGGCCTCCACACATTTTGCAAATGTGCAGGGAGGGCGCTGCAGGCCCGCCCAACCCAGCAGGACCAAACCAGAACAAAACTCCAGCAGTGCTCCATACATGGCCTCCCAATTACGTGCCGTCAACTCCTGCCACTGCCCCCTGCCCGCGGGCCCCGGCCCCCGGGTCAGCCTTTTTCTACGACTGGTGGGCATACTCCGTACAGTAAGTACAGTAAGTACAGGAGCATCCATCGGTACTTTCTGACTTCTGACTTCTGACTGCGGCTGTCAAAAGCAAAGCAACGCAAAATAGGACGGACCAGACACTCCCGGGACCAGTTGACAGACAGCAGGCCGCCTCGCCCTCGGATGCCCCGTTGAGCCGCTGGCCGATGCCAGTCCAGTATGCCGGTTTGATACCCCACCTCAAGTTAGCTAGCTATTGCTCGTGCACGCTGCACGCTGCACGCTGCAGCCAAGTCAAGCTCAAGGTCGGCGACGATCCCCAAAAGAGAGACGACGTGGGATGGAGAATCCCGAGTTCCAACTTTAAAACTCTAATTAGGGGAGCTTCAGCCGGTCAGTTCCTGCAGCTGCAATTGGAAGCCGACGTCTCCGTCTGCACTTGGAACGTCGCCCAGGCCGAGAGAGAGCCTCGTCATCGTGGCTGCAGTGTATCGCTCATTTCACCCATTACCCTTTGTCTCACACCCAAACTTGGATTATGGAAGACTGCACGATCCTTTCCAGAACGTTATGTTTGTCCTGAACATGGCCTGCTATGGCTTGGAGGCGTCTCCGCCTGCGCCGTTGCGGTGAGAGACCCGGCTTGTGTGACGCCTGATAGTGTGAGCAAGGTGTATATTTAGAAGGCAGTGGTCTCTGTTAGACGCCGCGGCGCGTAAGCTGCACGCAGACATGGCTCCCCCACCAAAGGGCTTCCATAATGGGGATTCACCTATATTTGTACATTTCGACATGATTTTTCAGGTGCACATTCCAAAATACTTAATTAATAGAAATAGGACAGTGGCGCGATGGATCCTGCAGAGGTTCGATTGGCTCTCGATTTCTTCTCAGGCACATTACGAATCATGTTGTTGCTATTTGTTGGAGGAACCCTTTGTTTGATTTGTACGAGTGTACAAGGGAAGGAAACGCTCAGCGAATGAGGAGGGCCGTCGTATTCCGAGGGAATGGTACGAAACGGCGGGGATATATTTCTGTGCCACCTGCCGCATGAAATACAATCACGTGAGGAATACTTTATTGAAAGACCTGAAGCAGGGTCTCCCGAGGTAATTTTTAGCTTAGGTTTCCGTCAAATTGACCGAGGAGCGACCGTCTATCATGACGAGTTTGAGTTTGGACAAACTGGTCAGACGTAAATCATTCGCGTTGCGAGACGAGAGTCACGTGCACCAGCATGAAGGAGACATATGGCTTCGTTTGGTAGTTTATTGGTACGGGTTTACTCGACGGATGTACGACCTCAAGCCCCGCACGATCCCAGGAACGGCTGTGAGACCGGTACATGCAATCTAACGATTGTTTCTCCTTAACTGGTGGCTTCGTAGCAGTTTCAAAGTACCTATACTTTTGTCCCTATTTTACATCTGCAGCCTCGAGGCGAAGATCTGTGCGTCGCCAGCATGCATGCCTTACCTCCGGGGCGAGGGTCTCGGCAGCTCGGGTCTCGTTTTCTGTCATTCTTGCAGGAACCTGGAAACAGGGGATAGCGACCCATTGTGGGTTTTGCGATCGTCTGTTGTGTGACTCTTAGAATGTCGAGAGATTATATGGTTTGTTGGTTAAGTCTTGAGGTGAAAGCGGGGAAGTTGTCGTGGTGGTTGTTGCTATTAAAAGAGCATGATCGCCCTTGAAATAGGGGGGCCAAGTCAGCTGGAGCGCCAAAGCGTGGCTGCAAGCTCAAGACGTGAGTTGGGAATAGAATTTCGACATTTTTGTAAGGCAGAGAGATTGTGTTGGTACCCAATTAGACTGTGATTACTTGTCTTGGACACAGCCGTGTGAAGAAGGTGGGCTGATCCATCCCTACCTGGAGCTTCCCCATGTTTACAGTAGCGGAGTGTCGGGGACCAATCCTGCACCTCCTATTGATTGAGAGGTGCATCTGAAAGGCAAGGGAAACTGTCAGTCTAGACTTCGTTGGAAAGTGGTTGGTGATTTCTGTGGAGTGAGGTGCAGGTAACGTACTTGAATTAAAGGGGGGGTTTCGAACTGCGCCGGGTTTTGAACTTTTGAGTGAACAATCTGGCGAAGGAGCTTACTTGAGCTATAATTGTTTTTGAAGCCTATTGACTTAGTTCTCTTTGTGATCTCAAAACCCTTCTAAAGATTTTCACGCTTGGTCGAATGCTGGCGAGGATAAGTACAATTGCAGAATCTGTAAGAGGGCTGATGCGTTTAGGCAGCAAGATGTTCCGGTACTTCGTATTTACAGAAAGGCTCCGAGGTCGATGGAACTTCAAAAATACCTCGAGGACAGGAATATAGAATTGTTTCCAGACGTCGGAAATCGCGATAACTTCAATATTTTCAAGGTTGAGGAATAATCCCACCTCGCGACATTGCGGGATGGAAAAGTATCACTGGAGGCAGGGTTCTGATGAAGTCGAGATATGGGGTACCTTTTAACGGATGGGATTTGCCATTTATGTGTGCAGCCGAAGCACTGTGATGCACCCTAAACTACTAGGAAACTTGAAAATGGCGAGAATGGGATCTGAACTGGAAGATTACTGTGTAAAAAAACCTACGTTACGTTGTAGTGTTTGTGTGCACTAGGTGTATAAAGACGAAGCACAAGTTCTTTCAATCGGAGTGAAACGTGCAGATTTTGGTACGCAGAAACACCAAAAAGTCATCCCCACTCAATTCTTTATTCCTCGCCCTTCCACTGTCCATAATTGATGCCGCCTTCAGGGTTACTTCTTAAGAAGCTACTGAATCTTAATATTCAAAAATATTCAGTCATTGATTAGTTGTTCGTTGATAATAAAACGTGTCTACGCATTTGCGAACTTTGCCGACTGAGAGCAGGTTTGCCGGGAGACTTTCGGCTGTTATGTTTTGGTGGCGCTCGTATAAGATGAAATAAGCCCAGAATTTGCACAATTGTCATCCGTAGTAGTGTAGGGGTTGTACGTTACTCCAAATCGTTCGCTCAAAACGTTTGTCTAACGGGTCATAGAACATACTCCGCTTTCAAGAATTTCTCATGATTTCGAAGAGCCGGAGAGCCCCGGGTTCGATTCCCGGCTATGGAACTGAATTACGTGCAGTTGCCGTTCAAAAATGATCAAAAATGGTCTAACTATCGATTTTTTTTGATCAATTTTTGGACCATTTTTGATCCCCCCCCTCCCTTTTTTTTTTTTGGTGGGGGGCTCGCCGCTATGCTGAGCTCCAAACTGACTTAGGCTTAGCACGAGCATCTGGAGAACACAGAGTGGGAGAAGTAATTCTTCAGCAACAAAGTTGCGTTCAAGTTGTCACTTATATATTTTGTTTTTTTTTTAAAAAGATGGATAACAGGATTTCATATGGGCTCATGAGTGTCCCATTTGGATTTAGTAAACTATATCCCTGCTTGATTCGCGGTTTGAGAAAGAAAAGGCTATGAGTGTGCTTCCACTCCGCCCCGCCAGATTCCGCTCGCTAGTTTTTACAAGTGTTCAGCCCACAGCGGATACGGCGACGTAGCGATTTCGACCTCCATACCACCCACTGAATAATCCACTCCACCTCTTGCCTTGCAATTCATGAAGCTGGGGAGCTAACCTCGCCCATCATGAGTTACAGCAAGAAAGACGAAGATGCGGACACTGCAATCATGAGGGTGGACAGGACCTCAGTCTTCCAGGAGGGTCGGTGAACCCCTTCCCCTCTCAAAATCCAGCTAATGCCAGATAGCACGACTGTTCAACTCTTCTCCAATACAGCCCCGAAGATGTCGAGTCCTCCTTACTAAGATTGCCCTCCTCCTCTACACAGGAGAGCGGTTCCCCACCAATGAAGCCACCACCCTCTTCTTCGGAATCTCGAAGCTCTTCCAGAATAAAGATGCCAGTCTACGGCAAATGGTACACCTTATCATCAAGGAGCTAGCGCATTCGGCAGAGGATATAATTATGGTCACAAGTACAATCATGAAAGATACTGGTGGTGGAACAGATGCTATCTTCAGACCGAATGCAATTCGTGCCCTTTGCCGGATCATTGACGTGAGTATAGGGAATGTTCCTGGGGAGCTTGAATTGACAGGAATAGGCATCTACTGTTCAAAGCATTGAGCGCGTGATGAAGACTGCCATAGTGGACAAGAACCCGTCCGTTTCCTCGGCCGCCCTGGTATCCTCATACCACCTCCTGCCTATCGCCCGTGAAGTTGTCCGAAGATGGCAGAGCGAAACTCAAGAAGCTGCCACATCTACCAAATCATCTGGCGGATTCTCCCTTGGATTCTCGACATCAGGAAGTCAAATGCCGGTCAACAACTCGACAATGACACAATACCACGCAATTGGACTTCTTTACCAGATGAGAATGCATGATCGGATGGCTTTGGTCAAGATGGTCCAGCAATTCGGAACTGCAGGTGCGGTGAAGAGCCCAGCGGCCACAGTTATGCTTGTCAGATTAGCAGCACAATTGGCAGAGGAGGACCCGCAACTCCGGAAGCCAATGATGCAGCTCTTGGACGGCTGGCTCCGGCACAAGAGTGAAATGGTTAACTTCGAGGCAGCAAAGGCCATTTGTGATATGCGAGATGTCACTGATGCCGAAGTCACTCAAGCTATCCATGTCCTCCAGCTCTTCCTCACGTCTCCTCGGGCGGTCACCAAATTTGCTGCCATCCGAATCCTCCATAACTTTGCCTCTTTCAAACCAGCAGCCGTCAACCCCTGCAATCCAGATATCGAACTCCTCATTTCCAACTCGAACCGTTCTATTGCCACATTCGCCATCACTACTCTCCTCAAGACCGGTAACGAGGCTAGCGTGGACCGTTTGATGAAGCAGATCTCTGGTTTCATGGCCGACATTACCGATGAATTCAAGATCACAATCGTTGAAGCCATCCGAACATTATGCCTGAAGTTTCCCAGTAAGCAAGCCGGCATGCTTGCGTTCCTTAGCGGCATACTTCGTGACGAAGGTGGATACGAGTTCAAGCGTGCTGTGGTGGAGAGCATGTTTGATTTGATCAAATTCGTGCCGGATTCAAAGGAAGATGCTTTGGCTCACCTCTGTGAATTTATCGAGGACTGCGAGTTTACAAAGCTTGCGGTCCGCATTCTTCACCTCCTCGGAATTGAAGGACCCAAGACGTCACAGCCGACAAAGTACATCCGGTACATCTACAACCGAGTCGTACTTGAAAATGCTATTGTGCGTGCTGCTGCAGTCACTGCTTTGGCGAAATTTGGTGTTGGCCAAAAGGATCCCGAGGTCAAGCGCAGCGTCACTGTTCTTCTCACCAGGTGTTTAGATGATGTGGATGATGAAGTTCGTGACCGTGCTGCCTTGAATCTGAGACTCATGACCGAGCCAGACGAGATGGCTGACCGATTTATCAAGAATGGTGAGTCTAATTTCTTTCTTCTTTTGAAGCTTAATGCTGATTTACATCCAGAAAGCACATTTGCCCTGCCGTATTTCGAGCATCAACTCGTAATGTATGTCACTGCTGACGACAAATCAACTTTTGACACCCCCTTCGACCTTGCAGCTATTCCCGTTGTCACCAAAGAGCAAGCAGATGCCGAAGATAGAACGAAGAAACTCACGACCGTCACCCCCACAATCAAGGCACCCAAAGCTGGACCAACGAAAGTCGCCCCCTCAAGCACAGAAGCTGCAGCTTCAGCTTCAGCGACCGCACAGAAATACCAACAGGAGCTACTTCGTATTCCAGAGTTCAAGCGTTACGGAGGTGTTCTAAAGTCATCGCTAGTCGTAGAGTTGACGGAATCAGAAACGGAGTACGTTGTCACTGTGGTCAAGCATATCTTCAAGGAGCATATTGTCCTGCAATATGAAGTCAAGAATACGCTCCCCGATACTGTGCTCGAGGAAGTATCAGTTCTTGCCACGCCGTCCGAAGAAGAGGAACTCGAAGAAGATTTCATCCTTCCAGCAGCCAAACTCGTCACCGATGAACCCGGCACCATCTATGTCTCTTTCAAGAAGGTCAATGGCGAATCATCCTTCCCTGCCAGCAGCTTCACGAACGTGCTCAAATTCTCGACGAAGGAAATTGATCCCACGACTGGTGAGCCTGAGGAGAGCGGATACGATGACGAGTATCAAGTTGAAGACCTTGAGCTTACTGGAAGCGATTATGTTATTCCTACTTTCGCTGGCAACTTCAACCACATCTGGGAGCAAGTTGGCGCTCAAGGAGAGGAGGCCGATGAGACTTTGCAGCTCAGCAATATGAAGAGTATAGCAGGTGAGTTGAAGCTCTTTATGTCCCAGATGAGAACTAATTTATCTAGATGCCACCGAACAACTTACCAAAACCCTTTCGTTACAACCGCTCGAAGGAACCGACGTACCGATTAATACCACTACTCACACTCTCAAGCTCTTCGGGAAAACTGTCACTGGCGGCAAGGTCGCCGCCAACATCCGGATGGCCTATTCCTCGAAATCCGGTGTCACGAGTAAAATCGTTGTTCGCAGTGAAGAGGAAGGCGTCGCGGCTCTAGTCATCGGGTCACTCTCTTAAGGTTAGCGAGGTATGGAGTTGACTCAGTTGAGCAAGTGTTGCATTTTGTTTGATTTGATGTTTAGATACTGGTTTCCAAGAGTGGAACCAAGGGTATTTCTGTCCCGTTAGGAGTCAAAGAGGTTCAGAAAATTCAATCCAACTTCACCCGCTTAAATACTCCTTTGTATGCACCGAACTCCCCAACTTGTCCTTTCGCTCGAGTGGGATGACCCCAGATTTGGCCCATTTTCTGGCTCAGCCGACTGCATGAACTGGTCATGGGTCATTTTATATTAGTTTCCCACCCCACAAAACGCCATACATGTTTCAGCTCTTGCGTCGCGCAATCTGGAAAAACGCTTTCAGCGAGGCTGGGAAAATCCTCTTTTTCAATTGGATGAAGACTCTGCAAGCGTTAGCCTTTTGCACGAGGGCGGGGTCTTCACTTCTTCTCTCGGTGAAGCTGTCGCTTCATTCCTGTTTTGGTCGAAGCCCCGGAGTCTGCCTTGCCAACAATATTTGTTTTTCCTTCTCAGATGAATGACAGATAAAGGTCAATGCATCGTGCTTTCTCTCTCGACGATACGATATCGTGTTTCTAGATTCTCAACTACCCAGCGTCCTCTTTGACAATTTTGGGCGAGACTCAAGGCCAGATATGAAGAGTACCTTTCTGCACCTCAGCCTTGTGAACTGACACGGTCCATATCAACCAAAATGCTAAGGCTGCACTTATAATCTGCGGAGGTGTCTACTTTATTCGCCAGCGATGTCGCGATACGGTAGCTACACCGTCGAAACGGAGCTACAGGTAGCACCTGAACACTGGTACAGAGAAGCTCTTTCCAGCAGGGGAACCGCCGGTAACAACCAGCTGTCAGTGGGACCAGTATGGACGTTGGAGCCACCAAGAGTATGTCATTCAGTGTCTTCGACTCCGTGTTATACTGATGATCCCTCGCAATGCGTAGTTCAACAACGAGGCTCAGCGAATCCTCAGAGTTCGGATTTCTCCAGACCATGCTCTAACAAACTCTTCGGTTTCTCTATTGACCGTTCACCGTCCATCTATATACACTCCTCTCGACAAACTTCGAGGACAATTCCGAGTTCTCGTCCTGAAGGAAGGCTCGTGGGATGATCCTATTGTTTGCAAGCTCGCGATTCAAAGCCTGGGTGATAATCTGCAGAATTACGCCGCACTTTCGTACACTTGTAGGTTCTTCAAACTCCATATGTTGTTTAGCCTCTTCAAGAACTTGGTTTTTGAAGTATCTTGGGCTTATATCCAAACAGCATTATCTTCTCGATTTACATTCAAAGATCCCTGATTAGACTAACGCCTCGACCTTATTAGGGAATGACTCAGTGGATGCTACACAAGATGAGCCAGAAGGCCACCACTATATCAAAGTTAACCATGAGAGAATTTCGAAATTAGCACCAACCTCCTACATGCTTTGCACCACCTCCGGCACCCAACAGCGCCTAGGATGATCCGGATCGACGCAATCTGCATCTTTGTGTATCGATCGTGAAGGAAATACCACAGGAAGTTGAGATTTAGACCTCTGATTTCTGAGGGGTTTCGTTTAGCAAGTCGGTTTATATACCGCCTTTATCTGCCCTCGTGTCGCCATACCGATTATTTGTTAATCTATACCATTCCTTTATATTATAAAATATATAGATTTTTTCACCTCACGGGCTGTTCCCGAATCTAAAGTAATGCTATTCCTAACTTTCTCTTTTCTATTAGTTTCTGTCTACCTCAGAGGCGCTGCCGACCGACCACGTAGGAAGCGGAAAGAGGAAATATTGCCTGAGATTATAGCGGAGATTACCACTATAATCTGCGCCGATCTGGACGCCTCCAAAGTCCACTTCCCTCTTTTGGACCTGAGTGGTCACTGCTCTAACCTGAGCCGAGCCCTGAGCCTCAGCAGCCCTGAGCACACTGATGAGTCAGCTGGATCATGCTCAGGTGAGTCCTCTTCCTGGCTCCCCAGAGAATCGGTTAAAGTTTCCCTGTTTTCTAAATCCAGATCCACTGCACTCAGTGTGTCAAATGATTAGGTTTGATTTGATTAGACCCCCCTACTCAAATCAAATCAAGTCAAAATCAAGCTAATCAAATCATACTTAATTATAATCAAAGATAATCAAAGATAATTAATTAGATTTATCACGTGATTACGCACATGACTCTGGAGCTTCAGAAGCCGAGATAAGGCTAAAATAAGATCTGGGCTAGCCGTATTCGGTATCGCTAAAGGCGCTCTTTACTAAACCAGGCCTAGCGCTAATTAGTAAGCGAAGCCAAAGGCGCTAGAACCTTCTTGATTTCCAGTAATTCCTTGCTACTAACAAAAGAGCTATAAATAAACTGTCACAGTGTGTATCACGTGCGCGGCTAGTCACGTGATGCGCACTGTGCTCTCATATAGTAGAATAGCTAATAAGGCTTCCAACCTTATTATTGTACCTTTTGGTCTGTTCACCCATATAGTAAAGCTATTTCCCTGCGTGTGCGTCCATTAGTCTAAGCGACTCGTGACATAAACCCTTACAGTAATTAAGGAAGAAGAAATAATAAAAGAAGAAAATTAGAAGAGAAAAGAGAAAGAGATTTCTAAAGAAGAAAACTATTAAGATAAGATAATATTGTAGTAGTAGTAAAGAGCTTGAATTGAGCCGAAGGCTATTTGTTAGGCTAAGGAAGCACTGGCTATATACTAAGTCACGTGCAATAGTATTATATAACTGGTACCACATAACAAAAACTAATTTGTTATTTTAAATTTAGACTAATTTTATACTCTTATATATACTTTATAGATTTTATTTATATCTTATTAATATAGCTATTAGTTATTTAATAATCTTTAAAAATGCCTAAGAAAGTATATTTTTATATTATTATATAATGATTATAATTAATTACAATAAAAATCAAGCTAATCAAATTATACTTAATTATAATCAATTCTAATTAATTCTAATTAATTAGCCTTGATTATTTTTTGACATACTAACTGCACTTTTTCGGCTCCTTTTGCAGGAAAAAACCCATTCTTTGGCTTTCTCTATGCTCTCCCTATTTGACGAGCAAAGAGAGACCATAACTGCTGTGGCAGAAACCGAAATCACTAGGGAACTAGGCTTCAACGGTAATCTAGGACGACTGTGGCGGGCGAGGAGTCTCTTCAGTCATCTAGCCCGGCTTATCGAGAGTATAAGTTATGCAAAGAGACTGGACGACTTCATGATCGAGCTGCTGCCACAGAGTCATTCCTCTTGCGGTAAGCTCAAGGCATATATACGAGCGGATGCTGTTTCACGAGGCTCTCAGAAATGCAAGTATGTGGATTGAGCCGTGAGCATTTAACTAATTGTAAATGAATTAATTATCAGAGTGGTTGTTTCAGACCCCAGCTATGGCCCCTGTCCCACCTAAGCAGCTGTCCTAATCCAGGATTATCGTCCAAATCCAGTAATAGTCGGACTTAACGTCGCGACTAAAGGGGCCCAACCCTTTAGTCGGGGAAAGCGAGTTGTCCCGTACCACACCAAAATTTCTATGCAATCACAGATACTTGAATTATACTATATAACTAAATAACTCTTAAATTAATACGCAATTGAGGATATAATCTCTTATTACTCTAATACTACAAAATCTGCATTTTGAGCTATTAAATCAGTTAATATTACTAATCTAGGTAATAAAGAATATAGATCTATCTCCTTCCTACTAATCCCACTATTTATATCCTCTCTTGCCTTCTCTATTTCCCTATTTAATTCCTTAGTTTCCTCTAATATTGCCCGTATATATAATTAACTAAGAGGGTTCCTCTTTACTTGGTAAGCTTACTTAGATATAAGTATTATAGGATTAATAGAAATATCTATAAAGATTACAGGATCCTCCGCTTATATATAATCGAATTTAGCTTGCTCTTTAGCTATCCTATTATAAAGCGATTAGTACTTAATTTGAATAGCTTTAAGTTTGTTTTCTGTAGATTTGTTCTAGGGATCACAAATTAGTATTAAAAGTTCGAGAGAAATAATTATATTAACTTCAAGAACCTATTTCTTTATTTATATCTCCAAATCTCTTACTTTCTTCTTCCTCTCTCTCTCTGCCGCTTATATAGCAATTCTAATTCTTTTAAGAGCTTCCCTCTTAGCTAATTTGGCCTTTATAAGTTATTTCTTTGCTTTCTTGAGCTCCTTCTCTACTACCTTCCTTACTTTTATCTTCTTTTTTACTAGAGTATTAGAAGCATTTATCTATTTTCTCTTTTGGAAACTAAGCTATATATTTAGCTTAGCCTTATAGTAATTAACCTATACCTTGCGAGAGTTCTGGGCATCTAGCTCTTATAAACTTCCAAGTATTAGATAGTTCTTAGTAGTGTGACGGCTGGTGTCATATGGTTGGTTTCAGCCAAAGGGGTTGGTTTCAGCTAAGGTTCCAAGCTATGGTTCAAACCAAGCTCGCTTCCAAAGCTCGGCGTTTCAGTGGTCTTGGCCATACCTACTTATCCACTGCTACACCTTACTCCTTCCTCCTTAGCTTTAAATTCTCAAGACATAGGAAATCATTGATCTTTGAGCCTCGTTCCATTGCTCTGTTCCTGCCGTTACAAGTAGCTTTAATTATAACTATATACTCTTTATAAAGAAAAGAGCTTAAAGTATCTAGAATCTTATTATTGAGATTATTAAAATATAGAGGTTTTGGGAGAGTAAATAATTAGTATATTACTTCTAATTCGTAAATAGAAAGAAGTATAGAAATTAGTAGGTTTTCTACTTCTGCTTTAGTATCTGAATTAGATCTAAATTCCAGATTCTTTAAGCTAGTATCTTTTCTTCTCTTTTTACTATATTCTTTAAGCTTCCTTTATATAGCTTTAAAGCTAATAGGCCAGATTCCTATATTCTAAAAAGTATATTTATTTATATAAACCATAAATATCTTCTTTTATATTTCAGAGAGATTATAAAAGAAGTACTAAATATTATATTCCGGCTTATATAAGCGAATTGCATTTATAATATTAACCTATTAGTAGTATTTCTGCTCCCTAAAGATACTAATATTATATAATTAAAAGTATATTTAGTAGGAAGAGAATTATATAATTTGTATCTTATTATATATAGCTTTTAAAACAAACTTATTTACTTAGTAGTAAGTTATTTTATTAATTAAGAAAATATACTACTTCTTATTAGGCCCGTAATTATTATACTTAATAAAATAGTCTAGCTAAATTATATAAATTTCTTATTCGTATATCCTATGGAGAGACTATAATAACTTTATAGCCGGGTATATTTTCGTGGAATTAGGAAACTATAATTATAATTCCAGATATAATTACTATTAGAGAAATTATCTTACTATTTATAAATATATATTTAATTATTATAAGAGATATATAATTCTCTAGTATCTTCGTATATATTTCCTTAATTTCAATTAGTATAATAATCTTTTCTCTTATAGGTATATAAATTTGTACTTCTTTTTTATCTATATTATATATCTAATTCCTATAGTATATACTAGTTTCCTCTAATACCGGATAATATTTAGTCTTAAACTAATTATATAGGCTCTATTTAATATAGAGATTAATATAGTAACTTGTAATAGGCTTTGTTTTAATTATATAAAGTTCTAAAGTACTTTTTAGCTATTAAGAGAACTATTTCCAAGATAAAGCTATTTTATTATCTTCTATTTATATTTATATTATATAGTTATATATTATTTGCTTTATAGCTTCTTTTCTTTTATTAATTACATATAATACCATATACTAAATTAATACCTTATATTAATTAGGATATAGGATCTTATTCTGGCCTTCTTATTATATTCTTGCTATTCCTATCTTCTTTCTCTCTCTCTACTATATTTTCTTTACTATATCTTTATTTCGTATATAATATATATATACCGCAGTCGCGGGAGTCTCTTCTGGGTTAGCCTTGAGAAATTAAATAGCTTTACGGAGCTTATCTCTCTCTGGCATATTACGGAGAAGTGCATAGTTAGGGAGGTTACTTAGGCGAGCTATTGCTGTTGAATTTGACTGATTTTCAGGGTGATTTGGGCTGGTGGTAATTAAATTAATTAATTTTTACTATAGGTATTCTATATAAATTGGAAATTTTTGGGATCGGTGCGGGACAACTCGCTTTCCCCGACTAAAGGGTTGGGCCCCTTTAGTCGCGACGTTAAGTCCGACTATTACAGGCTCTGTTCCGAAATCTCTTTCGACTACTACCCTTATTTTATCTCAATCGATACCTCTCACTAATGGCTGTCTAGCTTATACCCTCACTTCACCTCCTTCACCTCCTTCTTCGATTCCTGCTACCGGTTTCGGACAATCCCATGCCCTTCAACGAACCAATGGAAGCAGTACACCCACCTATACCTCTGCTGGATTCGAATTCCAAGCTTCACAACG